TATTATTATTATTATTATTATTATTATTATTATTATTATTATTATTATTATTATTTAATAAACTAGCACAAAAAAGATCCAAGAAGTGGTTTTGTTTCCACATGCTTCTGCTTTATAAAACTGTTTTGATTCATCACTGCGACATGCTTATCACCTTTTATCACCCATCTTTGCACTTTTGAGGTGAAAGTTCAAATTGGACGTGGCATTACATTCCAGTCCACAACTTCTTTTGGCATGGGTTAAATGTCTTTTTTTAAATGTCATTAAGATGATATTATTGCACAAAGTTCACTATTTAATAGTAGTTTAAATAATAGACAGATATTTAGACTATAATCATCAATGAGCTTCTAAAACTAAAGTTTTGAGGCTGTTTTAGGAGGTTTCTGATGGATGATTTAATTATCCTATCATCACCTCGTTAAATAAATACCGTATTTTTTGGATTATAAGGCGCACCGGATTATAAGTTGCATTAAGCGAAACAAATCAGTCAGATAAGTCAAACTTTATTCAGTTCATTCACAATAACCACACAAAATCAGTTTGAGGTCAATAAGCACAACCAGAATTAATACATAAGGCGCACCTGATTATAAGGCTCACTGACGATTTTTGAGAAAATTAGAGGATTTTAAGAGCACCTTATAGTCTGAAAAATACAGTAAGTCACACAGGAAAGGAGAAGCTATTTTTTTAGGCAAGGTTTAATCTTGCAAGATGGAGCAGTGTTGAAATGCAAGCATCAAAACGTTACATGGCGCCTCATCTCCGAGGTCTGCTCACAGAGAAAGAGTTAACAAAAGCTTAAATACCTGTTATCAGACAGAGGTGAGGTCAAGACAAATCTGCTTCACAGCTTAGGGCCTTGAAGTTTATCAGGTGCGCACGCTCCACTTCGCCAAGACAAAACAACTCTAACGCACACGCATGGTTTAAACATTTGACATTATAAGGGAAACGCATCCATGACCTTTACATCCTCATCATTTTCCACAAATTGATGGATTAGATTTTTATACTGATGCTGCTTCTGCATTAGCATTAACATATCATCGCAGCTTTCTCAGGAAATTGTATTTATTTTTCTGCAGGGTTGAACGTGGGCTGCTTCTACTCTATTTCTACACTGTTGAACCTGATGATAATCAAAGAATATCCTGTAAGTTCTCACCTGCATCTCAGAACACCTTCGTTGTTGTTGTTGTTTTATTTTTTAGTTAAACTTTCTTCAACCCCTGGATTTGTTCTAAATGTATATGCTCAGCTTGTAAATGTTTGTGCGACGTGTTTGACACTAAAAGTCAAAACGTCAGGAATGTTGACCCTCACAAAAATAACATGATTCTGGTGATTAAACGGACCAGGTGGAATTACCTGCTGCGTCATGGGTGCTGCGAGTTTCTCATACGGTCTTTAAACGAAAGACATTGGTGATTCTTCTCTCAGGGTGAAGAGGTGAATGCTGGGAGAATCGGCCTGACCATTGTGGTTGCTGGCATGGCAGGATCCCTCATATGTGGCATTTGGCTTGACAAGACCAAAACTTACAAGTAAGATGTTATTTGAAAAAAAATAAAAGCTGTTTTACTTTTAAATCTGAAAAAAAACAAGACCAACAGATGCTTTCGGACATAAATATGGAACGAAAACCTGGTCAAACATACAATAAATATATTTGACAAGATTTTTCAGAACTTATAAACTTTATTTCGAAGAAAAAATAAGAATTAATGGCTGCTTATAGTATTGCTTTCTACAGAGCAACGCTGCAAAAGTTATATTTTGTCCCCAAATCCAAAAAATATTTAATCATTATATCGTACGGCCTTATGCAAAAAGCTTGTTGCTTTATTTTAATTGAGCTGATTGTTTACGCATTTCTTTTCAGAAAAAATCTTGTCCTCCTTTTATTGTTACCCATTAGATAAGAGAACGCGTTCCGCTGCTTTCTGTAACGAAGCGTAAAAACTGTTTCGACAAGTTAAAATCCTTCATCCTCAGAATTCCTCACATGCCGGCAGAACGCTGAGCTGTCAGAGCAGTTTGGCACCGTTTTAAAACTTGGACCGTTTCGTATTTATTGAGCTGGGTTAAAGATTTGCTATATTAACAAACAAAAAGATGTTGTGCAGTCTATTTTACGCGTGATTGTACAAGAAACAGCCCCGTCAGAGTACACCTTCTTTCTTTTATTGCTGTTGTTTTGCTCCTCAGCAGAGCAGAAATATTGTTGTTAAATGTTATATTTTAGCTCGGTTTTAATGCATGCAATTTACTGGATTTACAGAACGTCAATTATGAAGCACCAAATCTTTAACCTTATTTCCTGACCATTTAGATGCAAAAAATAGGTTTAGTTGCTCAATAGTTTGTTACTCTTAAAGTACACATTTAGCATTTCTAACTTTCTAATAATTTCTTTATGACAACTTCCAGTTACTTAACGGTTAACAATGGTGTACCACAAGGCTCAGTATTAGGACCCACCCTCTTCCCAATCTAAATAGGTAATGTAGGTGAGACCATCTTTGATGCATACTTACATTTCTATGCTGATGATACAGTTGTTTATTGTTGAGCTAAAACAGTTGCTAAGGTTTTACAATCCGCTTTCGACATCATCCAGTCAGATTTGTTCCATCTCAAACTTGTCCTAAACGCTGACAAAACCAAAGGCACGTTGTTTTCAAACAGGAAGTCGGTCCCAGCAGTTTTTCTTTCAATTTTATCCTAGAATGGTGTTCCTATTAAATTTGTCAATTCCTACAAATATTTGGGTATCTTGCATCTCTCTTTTAAACTTCACGTGGAAAACTAGCAAGGAAACTGAAAGTTAAACTGGGTTTTTTTTTCAGAAATAGATCCTGTTTAACTCTGAATGCTAGGAAACGCCTTGTAACTGTGAATTTCCTTCCCTCCATTGATTACGGTGACATTATTTACATGAACGCTCCTACAAGCACCCTGCAGATGTTGGATACTGTCTATCATGGTGCATTAAGATTCATAACTGGCTGTAACTATCGTACCCACCACTGCACCCTGTATTCACTGGTTAACTGGTCATCATTTACTTCACGCACTCTCCCACTGGTACATTTTCATCTTTAAATCACTTCTCGGTCTGCTGCCTTCATACATCTCCTGCATGTCACTGTGTGAGTGCAGTTACAGCGTGCGCTTTCAGGACATTATTACATGCAGTGTTCCCTCAGTGAGGACTGAACTAGGCAAAAGGGCCTTCTCCTACTCTGCTTCTGTTTCCTGGAATATCTTGCAAAAATATCTGAAGCTTTTGACCTTGACCTCTCTAAGTGACTTCAAACATCTGCTAAGTTCCAAAAACCTGCAAAAACCAATGCAGACTTGTTCCTGTTTTTAGTTTTCTACATCGCTTTACAACCTAGCTGTTTTTGTTTAATAAAAAAAACAAAAAAAACCCCATTTCCTTTCATTTGTTCTTCTCAATTTGTATGCTTTTTATGATTATTTACTGTTGTCATCACTCTTTGTTAAAACCAGGTCTCTCTTGTAAACGAGTCTTCGAGGCTCAATGGGACTAACCTGTCTAAATAAAGGTTGAATGAATTTAAAGGCATTTAATATCCATAATAAGAACATATTTCCTGTCAGTGGTTTTCTGTTAGATTTATTTTAAGGTCATCAAAATAAAAGTAACGTTTTGTTTATTTGATTGTAAAAATAAAATCAAATCTTGTAAATTTAACCCTCTAAATGACTTATGCAATTACATTAAACCCTTTAAATCATCGTAGCTTTTAGAGCTACATCCATGTTCAGGTTTATGTTGCACATGTCTAAAATCATGCTAACACTCCTGTCTCCACAGACAAACCACTCTGGCTGTTTATATCCTTTCTTTGGTTGGGATGCTGGTTTACGCCTTCACCCTGAACCTGGGTCACCTTTGGGTGGTCTTTATCACAGCGGGGGTTTTAGGGTAGGTAATCATTAACGAGTCGACACTCAGTGACAAAGATCACAGGCAGGAGCTGAATTTAATACAAAAACGTACAAAATGTAAGAAAATTAACTGTGCTTGGATTCATTGTCAGACAACTAAACATGTGAATATCCTTAATGAATCTTTTTTCCATTCTGAGCTGTTAAAATGTTAAAATGGCCGCCATTTTTCACAATTCGACTCATTTTATGAGAATTGTTTAGCAGCAGCTGATGGTATTTAAGAAGTTGTTGCAGTTCACAACTTATTCTCATGGTTCCTGATGCAGCTTTTACTTTGTATAATCACAAACTTTCCAACTTCACGTCACATTTTGTGAACGCGAAGCGATTTCCTTCACAGTTATGTATTCAGCGCAGGGTTTTTGAAATTGGCGGGACATTTCTCAATGCAAACACAAACGGTTTAGTTTATAAAGTCAGTGCAGCCACTACCAGAGGCCCGTGGCTTCAGTTAGCCTGACTGACTTGTGATGCTTTGAGAAGTTTAAACCCTTGAAATGATGAGCAGCAACACATTTAATATTCATCTAATAGTTACAGCTTTGATGTTAGTTTGCATCCGTGTTGCTTTGTCAGAGCAGGATTATGTTTCTCAGATTAATGCTCCATTCAGTCCCCATTTTGTCCCTAGTTATTACTATTTATGGTAAGCTGATTAGTCTCATAACTGGTTTCCATAGCAATTTTCCTGCCTGGATTTTATTTCTAAAACCCCATTATTGTCCTACTTTTATAACTGTTGAGCTGTTTCTCAGTGAAACACATAATTAAAACCTGAACTGTGGTTTTAGCCGTTTAATTTGAGCTTCTCGTTCTGTGCGCCTGCAGCTTCTTCATGACAGGATATCTTCCTCTTGGGTTTGAGTTTGCAGTGGAGCTCACGTTCCCAGAATCTGAGGGAACCTCATCAGGACTGCTTAACTGTTCGGCTCAGGTCAGAGGTTTTATTGTGAACACGACGAACTGCAGAGTCACGGGCTGAAGTGGTTACAGCTTTTATAAATCTCCTTTCAGATCTTCGGAATCATTTTCATCATCAGTCAAAGACAGATTATTGAAAAATGGGGGAACTTTCCTGGAAACATCTTTCTGTGTGTCTTCCTGCTTATAGGAACAATAATAACGGGTAAAAGTTTTGTTTTAAAACTTATTTGCTCAAAACAAGTTAATTAACAAATTTGTGCAACATGTCATCAAAACTTGTTCTGAATAATTTTGTAGATAATAAATGATGCCCCTGCTGGCTAATTAAATATTTGCACTTCATCATGCTTTAAGGACACAATACATATTATTTTTAAGGAAAAAAAAAAATATATATATATAATATATATATATATATATTGCTAAATGATGTTACTTTTGAAACATTCCAACAACTACCTTGTGATATACTTGTATACCAACAAGGTTTTCTTATTTAGAAAACCTAAAACTAACACTTTGAATGGTTTTCAAATAACCTCATTTATGGCTTTAAACTGACTTTTAGGTAACATTATTACATTTGTCAGGTTGTTAAAGTGTAACACAGGTTTGAAAGTTTTTTTGTCTTCTTCCTGGTTTTGCATCAAGGTTGATTCAGGTCTTCTGGACGGATTCTTCTTTGTTGAAGAACAACCTTTCCACAAAGAAGAATCCCTCCAGAGGACCTGACTCAACCTTGTTACAGTCTTCCTGGTTAGTTGATTCAGATTTCTGAGTTTTATATGAATTAAAACAAATTGGTTTTGTTGCATCATAATCAAACATTTACCTCTACAGTGAAGGTGGTCTGTATTTTTGCACAGGACTAATCAAATCTGACCTCCGGAGGCAGAAGGCCAACCAGAAGATGGAGGTGCAGACAGTGAGTGTAAGTACATCTGGGGGAGTTGCAGTCAGATGGGGATCTTTGTGTTCCTGCGTTAGACCTGGCTTCTTCTTTCGGCTTTTCCCACTTCAGGGGTCGCCACAGCGAGTCATCCTCCTCCATCCCACTCTGTCCTCACTCCATCTACCTAGATGTGTCTCTGGTTTTAAAAAGAAATAACACGTTGCTGCAGTTTTTGTGTTGTTGCTGCTTTGCTGAAGTCGCTCACACTGCAGCGTGCCACTGACTGCTTTCAGGGGTTTCTGCTGCGAAAGTTAAAACTTTGGTTTATTTTTATAAACTTCTGAAATTAGTTTTGCCTCACAGCCTTCCATTTCGGTGTAACAAACAGCATACTTAAATGTTATTTGCTATTAAAGACGCCTTTTGATTTAATACTGCTTTTTATCCTTTAAACGGTTGCGTCTGACTCCTGCCAAATGGATATCGTAAAGTAATTACTAAATACATTTTACGTGGCAATAAAGTACTTCCAACAAATAAATACCAGACAAAAATGGATTCCAACCCAAAATACAAGTCGATGGTATCCAACTACTAAAAAGTTATTTATTTTTTTTTTTAAAGGAAAACCATTTAAAGAAAATCTCGCTTCAAACTGCATGTGCTCTGCAGCTTATCTTCTGGGCTCCAGGGGGATATTGGTCATATTTACACTATTGTGGTTTAACTAGTCTTGTTTAGTGTCATTTTGTTTTTCACAACCTCACATGTGTAACCTTCAGTTATGTTTCCCATTTTGACTTATTGCATTAACACACTGGAGCCAAAACCACACACACACACACATCAAAAAATAAATAAATAAATAAATAAAATCAGAGTAGGAACATTTTTATTTTACTGCGAAAACAACAAATTTTATTCCATGAACCATTTTCAAAGCTTGGAATGCAAAAATAACTTGATTTAATATTGTAGCAATATTATAGAAAGCACAGATGTATAGAATATTTACCATATTTTCCGGCGTACAAGTCAGTTTTTTGCATAATTTGTCAGATTTGTACACCAAAGTGACTTGTAAACTTTTTTTTTCCCCATATTCATAATGCAATTTTTTGACTGACGCTTTAAATTTTGAAGAACTGCAACAGCACATCCTCCCGCGCACACCTGCGTCACTCAGCTGGTGCAGGCGGAGGAACGCTGGAGAGCTCACGGCTCCAGCCATGATGGATGGATGGATGGCGCCACACCGCCCAGCCGAAATGAAGCTGTTTGGACCATTAAATAAACGCATAGTAAACGCAACGGGTCAACGGTGATGCATAATAAATGTGACTTATACGCCGAAGCAACTTATTTTTCCTCTTCGTGATGCTTTTTTTTTTTTTGACTGATGCGACTTATAGACTGGAGTGACTTATACGCCGGAAAATACGGTACATGAAAATTCCAACATTGTCTCAGGTGTTTTTTTAGACAAAAACAATGAGGTCTCAAAATAAAAAGCCACAACTCATTTGTGCCACTCAAACAAACAGTTTCTGTCCAAGACACAGCAGAGGAGCGCATCACAGGCGTGTCGTCCTCTTTTTGTCCTCCAGCTGGCAGTGTTTGCATGTCAACCTGCCTTTGCTGGCTTTTAGGCCAGCATCCTTCACTACAACAATGGTCACAGGAATGTGATCCGCTCTCCTGCTCTGAGGAACACCAGCCTTGTCTACACCGCTAAGCTGACATACCATGAAGTCTTTGTGTGTGTCATGGGCTGCACCTGCAGATCTCATGGTGCAAGATGTAGTCATTTGTTGTTGCAATGTCCAGGAAGTGCATCAACAAGGTCCTGTTTGTGCATGCAGCTTTTTTGTGGGTGGAATAATACTGAATATGCTGGTCTGACAACTTGACAAGTCAACCCCATCCATATGCTTGTTGCAGGTCATGATTGGTGTGGGGCATAAAATATCTCTCAGTCCACTGTTCATTTTTGTTCACTTTTCTCCTCACCGTATCACCAGAAAACGCAGGATGGATGGTAGAGCACACGGACACCTCCTGCGTTTCCATCCACTTCACAAAAACCAGTGGCCCCTCTCTGATCCATCTTATGGAACCTCTTTCACTTTGTGAGGTGAAGGCATTTGGTCTCTCTCTGGAGAATCCTTTTGTGTTCTCCCTGTAGGTGCCACATGCTCCAAACTTTATCTTGGCCAAGTCCACTAAACAGTTTGGGGCTAGTGTAGAAACTGTTCATGTAAATGTGGTACCCAGTTCCAAGATGGGCTGGCTGAATTAGGTTCATAACAAATCATGAGCCAATCCATGCTCAGATGGAGTAAAAGTCTTCCCAGTGTAGATATCAAACTAATGGTGTAGTCACTATTTGATTGAGCCTATGCAAAAAGCTCAGTCCCACACTTTATAAACCTGTCTTTCATATTGTGTCATAGTCTTTGCCCTGGTTGCCATCATCCTTTCATCCACCACCAGCTCCCTCTTGGGGTGGTAATAAGTCTGGCAGGCATTGAGGATGTCTTCATAAAGAGGTCTGATTGTACAAAGTTTGTCGTGGCCTGCTGTACCCTTCTTTCTGTCATTTTCTAAGTCCTGCTCAGGATCACTCATGTGGATGTTCCAAAATATGGATCTGAATCTGTCTTGTGCCAGTATTTTGGCTGGAAGAGCACAGACAAAATGTGATTTTTGTTTCCAGTAATCTTGGGATACTTGGTAGCGACACAAACGACATTTATCAGGAGACCTATTTTTTTTCCAGATTCCGTGTTTTTGCTGCCGCCTTGTTGGTGTTGCAGATTTTTGTGACCGTGTCAGTGGCAAAAAACAACAGAAAACTTTATTTTGGACTATAGTGTGACAGTGTGTCTAGCTAGACCCATGGTGTTCTCTGTGGCATGAACCTGCTTACCTCTGGGGCAGCATCAAAATCCTCCTCTGTCTTCCAGGCCTCTGATCTGAAGCATGGCTCTGTTGTCAGCATCCAGAGGAGATCTGGACCGGGTGTGGGTCCTGCCTTGTCCTATCTCAGACTTGGACCTCCGGGTGGCACTCTGTGAAGGCTGATCTTCCTCTCTTTCATAACAAAAGGTGGATTTTCCACCTCATCGTCCAAGTCTTCACTCTCTGGTTCAGAGTCTGACATCGCAGTTTCCTTCCCCATCTAAAGCTTCAAAGCCTACTCCACGTTCAGTAATCGCACCTTTGTTACGGAACAAACACACACTACACCCTAACTTCACAAACTTAACAAGCGAATTATCACCAAGCTCTCAAATTTCACTAAACTTGTTTTTTTCTCCATCGTCGTCGCATCTCACTGCTTCAGCGCCTTCAGGGGGAGTGACGGAAGACGGTTCTTCTTCTACGCTTCTTTTTCTTCTTCTGATGCTTAATAGGGATTGGCAAACTCATTTTAGGTGCATTACCGCCACCAATTCAATTCAGTTTATTTATATAGCGCCAAGTCACAACAGAAGTCATCTCAGGGCCCTGAACAAAAACCAACTGGACTGAAGTGAAGATCATGAGACTAGGCAGAACAAAAAACGGCTCTAGATTCAGCTAATTTATTTAAAAAACAAAATAACTTTATTGTATAAATTGGCTGTTTCATCCCCTAAGATACCTGATAATGTCAAGTCCTGATAATATAAAAGGTTAAATCGTGTCATCTGGACCAGTTTCATTAAGGGAGAAACGTTTCATCTTCCATCCGGAAGACTTCATCAGTCTGTGGCCTGCCAACCTCCTTGTTGGAGGAGGTTGGCTTGAAACACACACTTAAACTCCCTTTAAGTGAGAAACGTTTCGTCCCCCATCCAAAGGACTTCCTCAGTCTACGGCCTGCCAACTGATCTGTCCCATATCCTTCACTGCTGTGTTTCACTGCCAGTTATCTCTTTGGATTATTATGTTTAAGTGTAGCAGAAACGTGTGCACATTTTCCTGTTGGATGCTTGCCTTTTATGTAAAAAGTGTGGTTGAGGCCTGAGTGTCCTATTCGGTGCCGAGTGAAGACATTGCTTCTCGTCTTCTCTCCTTTTATCAGTGGTCACCAATATATTCCACCATATCTACTGGAAGTAGTGATGAGTGCATTTGAGCATGTGTGCATTAATATATGAGAGACAAGATTGGGTTCTGGTTTGCAGTCCTGCACAGCTGGACTTTTAAAGAAACAGCTGTTGCAAGAACCTTTGGTGGTTCGGAGGCAAGCTGCTTGCATTGCAGGGGTGCAGGTGTTCTGCATGACACCAGTGGTGGAGGTGGTGTGGTGATAAGGGTGACCCCTCAGAGCTTTGATACCAGAGCTATGGTTCCAGCTTACAGGGCCAGGGCTATCAGTGGAGGACTACGGAGCCACAGAGTCCAGAGACTACCCCTGCCAGCAGAAGTTCTGAAATAAACCCACAACTTCACTTAAACCAAAGCACACACCTGGTAAGGTAGGGACACACAGCAACATTATAAATCCACACAAACACACAGTATATCATCAGAGGTAAAGATAAAAAAAACTTCTTAACACACTACGTGTGTTAAGTCAAGTCAAATTTATTTATAAAGCACATTTAAAACAGAAACTGTTACTGAAGTGCTTAAATTAAGTGTTTAAATTTATTAAAAAAAGGTTTAAAGATTTGTTGGTCTGAAATTAGAATTAACTCTTACAGATAAAATGCACTATCAAACATTTTGATTGTTGTTGCAAAGCACATTTTATTTTTGATTTTAATGTTCTCTAAATATTCAGTGTGACTTAAACTCATCGTATTTTTCTATGCGAATAAAAAAAGGGACAGCCAAGTTTGCCTCATTCGTCCATCAACTTTGATGCAAATTTAAACAATGTACAAAACGTTTTCATCTTTTATTTGTGTTCTGTCTTTAATAATGTTGTGATTAGTCTTATAATTTACAATATATTTATCTTTAAAAACTAAATTTCTGTTCTTGTCTCTTCCAGCAACTGACGGCTGATACAGGAGTTGTCTCTACGACTGAAATCCTGAAGGAGAGAAAGTTATGAGGGTAGTCTTCTAAAAAAAAAATGCTTGAATAGATAAAAAATTAATTAAATAAACTAGTATTAACACCTGAACAAAGTGAAAAGCTGCTGTGAACACTGGGTACATGGTGTCTCGGAGTGAACTGACGCCTGTGACGCTTTGATTAAAACCAAAAGAACTGCTGGACATTCGATGTACTGGATGGACAAGAAGCTGAAAATCCCTCGAGGTGCAAGAATAAAACAAAATGTTGCACATCTGGGGAATGCAAAACAACTTTAGTGACTAACAGTTTTTGACTGCTTTCTGTAACCTTTTATTAAATGTACATTTATTGAGCTGCATCTGATCAGTGTTCTTAATGTTGGATTATCTGAATTCAAACCTTTACGTTAATAAATTTAAGTATTTGTTTGAGCGTTGTGATGTTTAGAATATGCAAATGACCTGAAAACTGATGACTGTGATGCGTTTCCTGTCAGGTCATGTGTAACGTGCCTGCCAGTCAGGCTCACTGGAAGTATTACTGTGCCACCAGTCCTGCTGATTTAAAAAGCACTGATCGATGCTGATGCTGTGCATCCGAGTACTCCAGGAGGTCAGTTTGTCCTCGTTTTGCTGAAGTGACCTCTACAAGAGGAAGAATGTGAGAAAAGCACAATTATGTTAGGTGGATAAAGCAAATCTCTTTTTTTTTTTGCACACTAAACTGTTGCCATGTGTAAATTTTTTATTGCAAACTGAAGTCAAGGTGTGAAATCAGTTTTTGCACATCTTTTCATTAATGTCTTATTTTCTGGTCTGTATAATTTTAAGTTGTAGCTCCATTTCTGTGATAAGGTGCTTGTTTGTCCTTCAGTGGCAGATTTGTGTCAGGGATGTAATAATCTTACATTTCATGTCATTATGTATTTCTAAACGGATTCAGGTGAAATTAAACATTTTTAGACTGCAATACAAAGTCTGTTAGTCTTCTATTCAGTCTGAATTGTGAATGAATTACTGAAAGGCTGGTATCTTAAGAAATATATGTTATGAGGGGCAAAACATACATGATGGGACAAAAAACAGATACTAAATGTCTAGAGACACTTGTCAGAGACCAAACTTGTGGGGGAAAAAACACTGAAATGAGCAAGGAACAAAAAAAGATTATACAAGATCTAGAAAAACTAAAAGGACAGATGTTAACCCACATTACACAGAAGCTTACCATGAATATAACGAGTCACAGAAAACACAAACTTATTCTAGTGACAAACATTTAAAATGATAAAAATTACCACAAGCCCACACAACTACAAATATTAAATGACTAAAAATATAAGATTAGCATAGACACAAAATAATCATATAGTAGTAAATGCAAGACAAAAAAACAACTACCAAAACAAATACAGATGAAATGTTAGAAGTGGGTTAACATATCAAGAAAAAAACATTTGAGTTATTAGAATACGAAGTAAAACTAACACATTGATAGAGAAATTAGTAAAATGTGTTTTGTATGGATTTTAAAGATGACGTACTGTGAGTCACTGATATTTCAGAACCCAGAACTTCTTTTGTTTTGAGTCTGCATTTTTAACAGAATAGCTACACAACTAAAACACTGGCAAGCAGTAGTTTAAACATGTATTCTTTAATTCAAACAAACGGAACGTGACGGGGTATTACTGTAAATGTTTCGTAAAAATAAAGCAAAAGTACATTTAAACCTCTAAAACAAAGTCTGAAGGATTCTGGAGACTTAATTTATTAAAAAATACATGCCTCCGTCTCTTAATGCTCAGAAAACATCAAAATATTGACTTATAAAAGTATATTTGACATCATTAGGCCTGAATTCTGATGATGTACTGTCGAGGTAAAAAACTGCAAATGTAGCTGAAGTATGATTATCAGCGGTTACATCACTGTCCCACAGAAAACATGAAGCCAGAACATCTATTATTGCCAACATGTCCATCTAAGAAGATGATGTTTGTTTTTGAGTCCTTTAATAGTGAAATAATAAAATTAAAAGGACATCATTGAACAGTATGAACTGTTCGTGGCACAGGTCAAACATCGAGGAATGGCTGTTTTACTGTTTGTGTTACTTTGTTAAAAACTGAGCAGTTGTCGAGATTCTTTGGTAAATCTGATGCTGTGTGCATGAGGGGTTGCAGTGGATTAAAAATATCTACTTTTAGACATTTTACTTTGAATATCATCCCACTGAAGCTGTGCACAAGCTGACATGAGTGTTGCTTTCTTCCTCACAATTCACTTTCATTTTTGACTGCAAATAATTAAAAATGAGGATTTGTTAAGGACTGTAGTGTAAGTCGTTTGCATTTGTATCATATGCAATGTGGAACAGAATCTAACGTTTTACAAATTTACACTCAAGCTGCTTGTTCCTGAAAACAAGGCGCAGCAATGAATGACCAGCTCGCGTGTTTCATCACAGGTGGTTCATCAGATTCAGTAATAAAAAACCCAAACTAGTTCCTCTTCTTCTGTCGGGCTCCAACTTCCTCCTGGGTTTCTGAAAAACACTGGAATCCAATGAGCATGCCTATGATGGAGAAACCTGGAAAAAATAATATAAGGTTACCAAGATTCCTTCAGTTAACTAATATTTTCCACTGACCTCTACATTTCAAAACACCACAGATAAAGTTAAACATTACTAGCCTAAAACACATACATTTGGATAGTTTAAATATAAAATACAGAGTTACATCATACTTGCAACAATGAGTGGTGCCATCACTCCAATAGTCAGTGGTGCCGTTTTGTAGATAAAAACTTCAGACAGAAAATGACCCAACGCCAGCACAAATGTCCATAAGGTGATGTGATACAGTCTGCAGGAGTCAGAATAACTAACATTTAATAAGGCGGAGTACCGTAAGAAACAAGCTGCAGCACATGAACTACCGTACGTTCTGTTCTGGATATCGATGGCACAGGCACAGCGAATGATCGATGATAGCAACGTCCAAATGCCAAACGTTCGAGCTTGGAGACCATTCACTGCAACGAGAGAGGGGTAAAAGGAAAAAATCAGACAAAAACATGAAAACAATATGACAGAACATCAGTACACATTCAGTCAAAAATCTTGGACGAGGATAATCTTTCATTTATTTGGCAAATTATCTTCTAAACCAGTTATAGGACGTGTGTGGTTGTGCCTCTGTTTTCCAAAACTATGCTGAGGTTATTGATTGTTTACATAATTATGAAATAATGCAGTTAAAATGATTTCAATAAAATTATAGATGCAACAAAAGACTGGGCATGAACTTTATGTTTTGAAGTGTTTTGAGGAGTCTCCATCTGTCAGTTCAACCCCTTCAGCTGCTCACCAAACTCTGGGGTGCCCGTGTAGAGCTTTTCAGACAGGAAGCTGTGGTCTCTGAAGCTCTGCACCGTGTTTCCCATGGCGATGACGGACACCATCACCAACCAGCTCCGCAGGACGTTCAGGAAGCGGCTCATCTCCTTTGTCTGTCAGAATCTTAACAGGACGGAAAACGTCAAAATACATCAGCGAAGCAGACATTTTAGCAGAGGCATTTATTCCGTCAAAATAAAATAAAAAATGTAAGCTGGGGGTCAAATATGTCCAAGCTAACGCTGCTCTACACTGTTACTAAGTGCGTCCATTCAAACATTAAAATTGATGAAATTCACACATATTTACCTGCCGAATACCTTACTCCTGGGGAAAAAACACGACAAAAACCAAATGAGAGTAACGCAAAGCTATTAGCTATACAACAACACTAGATATAACACATATCTTTGTCCATACATTTGACCAATAAGACAGCTCTACACGTGAGTCCATTTAATCATACCATTGTTGTGATTGGCTCAACTCAAGTTAAGGTACCGCCCATTTTCTTGACTAACCAATGAAAACTGTGAATTCATACAGGCTGTAGGCTGTGTTGAAACGAAGAGTGCACAAGGTGCAAGAGAAATATCTGACTTACAGAGAGCAAACGTTATCAATCTATTACGTCAACATTTTAATCAGTTTTCACTTGATTAAAAAAAAAAACTAGCATGTGTATTAAGTGAACTGTAGCTGTACTCCCACTTTTCAAACTTTATTGTTTTTGTAGCGCACTTGCTACACCGGCTGCAACCATAGATATAAACATCTGTGGCTGCAACAACGGTCAAGTTTAAATTTGCTCACGTGATCATACACTGTCAACGAGTGCGCATGCTCTGTTGCTACTCAGTTGTTGTAGTTACCTGGAAGATTAACCGCCCAGATGCTCGCTTGTTAGCCGCTAGCAAGCGCCATAGCAATAAAAGGCAAGGTTGTGTTGGCGTGTTTTCGTATTCAGATGCAAAATAAGAGTATTTTAACTGTTTTAATCATAAGAGACTTCACGGGTAGCATTTATTTTTATCTAGATAATGTTGCTCAGCTTCCGGTTGGACTGTCAGTTTGCAGAGTTGTAAGAGGATTTTACCGACACCGAAAGGCTTTCTCTTCAATTAATACACCAGTTGATGCCATTTTACCATTTTGTCAATGTTTGTAGCGTTGCGGTAGGGGCGATTGTTGCAATATTATATCTGAATGAGACGAAGTTAGTTTGCTAAAGCTTAGTGACTGTGAAATTAATTCTACGATGGACGACTTGCTGAATTCTACGTCCCAGGCAGAGTTCACCGATTAGTTTGCCCCCTTTGTTAATGTGAAAATGCCAGCTGTGGTCCAGGAAAATGATGACTCTGAATCCTCAGAAGATGAACATGGGTAAGTAGATTTTATGTTGAATAATCCGCTATCTGCTTCAGAAACCTGCCTGTGACAGGTGAATGATGCTGAGACACCTGCATGGCATCCTGGTCACAATTAATTAACCGTGACCTTTAGATAACCCCTAAATTAAACGAGGGGGGGCTTAAGGTCTTTTCTTTGGAACATTGTCAAAATAATCATTTACACCAAGACAAATTAAGAAAACATTTGAATCTTTAGGTACTTTTCATTTTATATAATTGCTCTGTAAGTTCAGGATGGCAGGGATGATTTAGCTTATTGCTGTAACTATGACATTTGGTCTTTAATGTGTCTGCCAAACAATTCCTTCTTAAGCCATTAGTCATACCTGACTATATGCCATAGTATTTGCTTTTAGGCTGCATTTCATAAATTACTGGCTTAGAATTGCAGTTGAAGCTGCAGGAGACAAGTTATTATTCACTGAACTGACACCAAAGCAGAAACAACTCAAACAAATCCAAAAATAACGTTCTTTTAAATGCACATCACTCACATTCTAACAGAAGTTTTTTTTTTTTTTTGGTTTCGCTGTTGCTGTAGACCTGTTCTCTTAAGAGCATACCATTTATTTTTAATCAATTTAAATAGTTCTGCGTAACTCTGAATGAGAATGTATCTTGTCTTTTTCATCAGGAGCATTTAATAATTCATACAAAGGTGATGTACATGTGTCAGAATTGGACAACGGGTACCACTAAATTACGTAAAGGACTATTCACAGGCAAATACAAGTAATACTCATCTAATGTAAAAAGAAACGTGTATAGTTTAAATAATAGTTTAAAATTGCAAGAGTTCAGCTGAATGCGATGTGAGCTTTTTAAAATTTCCTTGATGAAAATAAGAATCTTAAATATGAGAGCACGGTATCAAGTATTGATTAAACCATTGGTTTGAGTATTAAGTTAACAAAGTTGTCAGTCCTGCATTGATTAGTACCAGTTTGGTTGTGCAGGCACAGTTTATTCCCTTTAGAAATATTTGCAAAAAATAATTTTGCTCCTATAAGATAGCTAAAAACCTGGCATTCACTCAGTAAATCCAACAAAAGCTTGGATGTACTTTAGGGTTAGTGTAAAAGTACTACATAAAGTTTATTAATGTTATTGTGGCATTTTAATAAATGTAACTAACGAAAACGGGTCCAAATATGTTATAACTGGTAAAGATACAACTTAAAATCCTTTCTTTGCGAAGATATGTAGGAATAACATTTGTTTATCTCTTGAGCAGTAGTTCTTACGATCTTATCAGAATACTTTGATTGTGTCACCTTGATATCTCATTGAGACAAATATCTTCCACACTCTCAGACATACCTGGACACGTGGAAGCTGGTGGCAGTAGCTGCTTACATTTCAACCCCCTTTTATCCAGAGCAGTCATACCTGATTGAGTCCCACTCCATCATCATGCTGCCTTATCTTATATTTGCTTCGTGATAAGCAGGCTGTGTCTGGCACTGGAAGATAGTCTGGACTTTTACAAGACGGTTTGTTAATGCGGTGCATGGGTTTGCTATTTTCCAGCACCTCATAAAACTGTGTGAGGTTTTATCTTTATCTGCACGACTGAAATAAACACAACTTCAAGATGCATTCCCTCGATGTTAGGTAAGCCGAGAGCCCCGTTCACATTATCATAAAATCACTGCGTACAATTTTGGGTGCAAAAAAAATCACCTCAAAGTGGTTCCTGTTTCTTTGCAGTTGTTTATTTTTCTATGTAAGCTGTGTGTTTAAACAGTGAGTCTTCCCAACTCACTACATTTTTATCTCATTTGTTTGTTTTCCCCACAAGAGATCATCCTTGCATCACATGGAGCGGCCTCAGCAAGACGATCCCCGTTCTCCTATTTTTACCCGAGGCCATTGTTTCAAAAGATAGGATTCTCTGCTCTGTTGGAGGTAGAACCTGCTAAATGTGCATTGCAAAAATGTATATATATGAAGTCCCAACAGATTTTCAATCGATCCATATGCGTTTTAACCAGAGCAATATCATATGGCCTTCAAGATCGTGCGCACAGAGAGTCGCCTGGTTCGAAGAATACTCACCAATCATGGATTCAACGAGGTAAGGATTATTCTCAGTTCATGCAAAATTTGTGAAAAAGTCAAAATTAGGAAAAAAATAATTACGAGTGTGCATTGAGTATAGTATGCTGTGCAATATTACCATTGTCAATCAACATTTTAATTTTTGTTCTCTTTGTTAATGCTGCTTTCAAAGCAGCAGAAAATATGAGAATTAGACTCGAAGTGCATTAGTCCTGTTTTGTGAAAGTACACTATACTCTTTTTTTTTTTTTTTTGGTCTCCCCTAGGAGTTGCAATTAAATCCATGTCTATTTTATTTTAGTACCCGAGGCTCGTATGATCAAAGGCTGACGAGTGTCTACTGCTACTCCAATAGAGCCAAAATTTAATAATCCTGTATTCCAAACATCTGGTATTATCCCCAAACACAACCAATAGGATAATCAGAATTAAGCCTCCTAACAAATCTTTGCAATAAAACAAAGCAAAACAGATAACATCATGTGACAGGAAAATCTACAAGTTGGCTTCCCTTATGTTTTTCAAGTGCTGGCTATTTTTCTGCACATTAGTGTTCAGGTGGCCTTTCTTTGATTTTGTTGCAGACATTGTCTTTGTTTTTCAGGTTCACCCAAACAGTACTGACTTTAACCTGATGTGGACAGGATCTCACCTCAAGCCTTATGTCCTGCGCTGCCTTCAAGACTACCAGAAGGTCAACCACTTTCCCAGGTATGACCAAGAGCTGAAGTGCATTATGGCATTGCAGCTGTATTCTGAACTTTTCCTACCCCCCCCCCCCCCACTCCAGTTCAGGCAATGTATTTTTTGGCTTCTCCTGGAACACACATTTAGTTTGGAGCGGTGCCTCTCTGAAGCATGAAATGAATCATACTCTCAGGCAGTGGAGGGGGTGGGGGGTGTTGTGTAACTGTCATCTATTTATGTATTTATTTTGTCATGTCACAGTGGAGCTCATTTTATTCTGGAGGCTCTGCTCATTTCCAGGTCCTACGAATTAACTCGCAAAGACCATCTCTATAAAAACATCCAGCGGATGCAGCAGACTCACGGCTTCAAAAACTTCCACATAATCCCTCAGACCTTCATGCTTCCCTCTGAGTACCAGGAATTTCGCAGTAAGAGACACTCGCCTAAATCAGTTGGTCTCTGCAGAGCTACGTATATGCTGTTTGATTTCTTTGCTTTATTTTTTCTGTCTGTGTGAAAATCCCCTCCTCCTCCGTTTCACTCAGATTGTTTTGCCAAGGACAAGGGCCCTTGGATAATTAAACCAGTAGCATCTTCAAGAGGACGGGGGATCTACCTGGTCAGCAATGTAAGTGATGTTAAACATTCAAAATGAGGCAGTGTCAAATTAAAATGTCCTCAAGTGCAGGCATGAATGTAGAACTGTTAATAAAACATTATATAGTTATTTGAAGACAAAGTTTTCCACTTAGAGCTGCAGTTTGTTGTCTCCATCCTCATGCCTTTAAGGGCCGATAAGCATCCAAATGTGTGTGAATCTTAAAAAAAAAAGGCTAAGTTATCACATTTGTGTTAAATGTTATGTTGACCTTTGAACGTGCTGTTTAAAGTCAAGAATAAACATTCAAACTTAGAAATTATTCCAAAGAGCAATGGTGTTATTTTCTCTGATCACCCGTGAATCACTGGATGTCTTGAGGCAGCTTGGGTGGTCTCGACCTCCAGCTTGAGCGAAACGGATCTAAATACTCCTTTTAAAATTAAAATGAAGTTGTGTTAGTTGATATGAATGTACTGTCTGACAAGTGTTTACCTAGACTGGGCAATAAATTCACGGAAAAATGTCATTCTTATGCTGGATGTAGTTCTAAACTTGTGTTAGATATTAAGCAATACTGCACAAGATAAAAAGTAAGGGACACTCTTTTTTTGTTTATGAGAATGTGCAGCAAACTTGAGGCAAAGATATGACAATAAGCAATCAACAGTAAGCAAAATATGTGACAAAACTCAAACATTAGCTAAAACACATTTCAAATAATATGTTGTTTGTTGTAACTAGAGCCTGACCAATATGGACATTTTGGCTATCACTGATACCGATATTGGGAGGGGACAGCTAATGCTGATAGCTGATATACTGGCTGACAAAATTTTGAGCTTTGTCCACCCCCAAGAATGTAAGTAAACATCCATCCATCCATTATCTTTTACCTGCTTCTCCCTTCTTGGGTCGCGGGGACCACTGGTGCCCATGTCCAGCCATCACTGTTCGAGAGGCAGAGGACACCCATGACAGGTCTCCAGTCCATCACAGGGACACATGGAGACAAACGAGACAAACAACCATTCACTCTCTCATAGCTAGGGAGAAGGTAGAGTTACCAATCAGCCTAACATGCATGTTTTTGGTAAACATCTACTTTTAAACTTGTTTTAACACTTGGTCTTGAAACAGTCTTCCTAACATGCGTTTAAACAGTCACATATGATGAAGGTCTAATTAGTACTGACTGCAGCAGCATTTTTTTTTTCTTTGCAGAGAAGTAAATATTTCAGACAAACAATTCAGTTCATTGAGAACGACACAGATAACGTTACTAACACTGATATAGTTTACCTCTACGTTAGATTTATTGTTCTGGATAAAGTTTGACAAGGCAATAAACTAAATGTTAGCTTGCTAACTTGAGAGATACATAGCTAAAGACAAGCAGGTTGGAGGACTGAAGAGAGTTTATTATTGATGATTTTTTAAAAATTTTATTTAACAGATTATTTACAATAAACTTACCATGCTCTGTTCAGCAAAATACGATGCACACAGTATTGCTCCGTGCTTGGGCTGTGCTGTGAGTTAAGTGCAGCATGGTCATGACTTGAAAGTAGTCCGCATGTGCTCTCTGCTGGATGCACTGTACAAATACACCATTTGCAAGTATATACCCGCACATACTCGGGCGGAGGTCCGCGCATACCAGATTAGATTTGAAGCGGACGCCCGCAGGGCATGTTAGTGCAAAGCTCAATTTTTACGACTGCGTACACGTACTCTGTGTCGCACAATGAACTGCCTGGCGACGGACTGTTTTGTATGCGACACCAATGTATTAAATTCCCCTTCTTCATCCATCGTCTGGTTTAATGGCCTTTTCTTTTGTTTTGTTTTTCCAAGAGGCAAGCGATCTCTTCCTCCTCGTCTGTTGACGCCATGAATGAAATTGTGGGAAATGAAGGAATTTGTCATGAGCGAATTAAAATCAGGCCCAGCGTGGCTGCGGGAAGGCCTGGAGATTTCCCGGTGGGCCGGTCTGTGGGCTGCAGGGCCAGCGCTCCCTGTTATTTTTTTTATTTTTTAGAACTTTTTATTAACAACATATACACACAGAACATCGCTGCTGCTGGGCTGCCAGCTCTCTTTTTTTTTTTAATTTTGCGACCTGTCAATCGGTCCAGTAGGTGTGTCAGCAAATGACCAATCGGCGACCCCAATTTGTCCCGAAGGTAAACACCCCTTGCCTGCGGAGCTGGGCTGCAGTCAATCAGGGTGAATGCACGAGTCTGAAGTCTCAGCCGTCCGCGCAGACTGAGGACCGTACGAGTCTGTGGGAGCCTTAAGGACACAGCTCGTTTCATAGCATTTTAGGGGTGAAAATTAGAAGTTTATTTAAGTCCATAATGGACCAATTATTACCGGTACCGATATGTCCCTAAATGCCTATATCGGCCCAACCGATATATCGGTCAAGCTCTAGTTGTAACAAAGTTTTAGTGTCATATTTCTTTAAATCGATTTGTTTTTGTTAGGGTTCTTAAAATGATTTCTTGTCTTTCTTTTAAAATGTAGTTTTTGTTTTGCAGTGTTTTTCCTTTCCTTGAAGATTTCCTGAAATATAACTTTTTCTTCTTTGTTGAATTGTAAGTTTTGTTTTTACATCTTTTGAAATGTCTGCTGCATTGTCAGACATTGGTTGTATTATTATTTATTTTGCTTATTTTCTCGAGTTGTGTTCTCTGTACTGTTCTCGTGTTTTATGCAATCTTGTGTTTTGCAAAATTTCACTGTACTTTTGAACAAATAAGTGTGCAAAGCAAACTACAGCATAGTGTTGTAGTTACTACTGACTGACTGACTGAAAAGAGGAAAGAAAAGGTTTAAATCAACTTTTGTGTTAAAAAAAAAACAAATTATTTCATGTTTAAACACAGATGTACATTAAAAGCAAGCCTGGTGGGAGTTAACTGAGCACATACTGAAAGAAAATGCCGTGTGAACTCGTACAGTCACTTGGCCAGATGTTATCGGTGTGCGGGGGTGCGCTGATACAGTTGTCTTTGAAATAAGTTTCAAGCAGACATTAATAAGCTCTGCAGAGTAAATCACACCCTTCCAAGGCCTCGGCTCTTGGATGAGCTCAGCAAGGTTCTCACTCTTGGAAAATATATGCTCGATTCTTCTTCTTCTTAGGCATTTTTATGCAGCAGTGGAAAGAATGTCAGCTTGATATTTGGAGAGAAGAAAGAAATACGTTCATCTTTTTGGTTTGGTTTTTCCTCTGAACTCCAGCCAGCACTGAGGTTGCTCTGCCCCCTCCTTCTCAACTTCACCACCTGCAACACATTTCAACCTCATAAATGACCCATCTCCCAGCACCAGATTGTGTTTTAATAGGCTGTTATTGAAAGTTGACCTGCTATGGCCAGCGTCGCTGAAATGTCTCCTCGTGATTACTCTTTGATGTCCGTGATTAACTGCCGTGTCACGCCAACTTTTGGAAATCGAGTATTTAATGTTCTATATGAAATGGCTTGTAGCTTTAACGCTAACGGAATACCGCCTGCATCTTTCTCTTTGTGCGCTCATCATATTTTCTTCTATGCGTTTTGTTTCTCGTGTAGCCAAATCAGATCGCAACGGATGAAAACATCTTGGTGTCTCGCTACATCAACAACCCATTACTTATAGATGGTGAGAGGAAGTTTGTTTCTTTATACACACATATATATATATTTACACAAACTAATATTGAATAATTATTTTGAATTGTCCTCTTTTTGTTTTGCTCACAGAGTTCAAGTTTGATGTGCGTTTGTATGTGTTAGTGACATCATATGACCCACTCCTCATCTATGTGTATGAGGAAGGCCTTGCTAGGTAAGTGTTTGTAGGTTTTTAAATTCTTTCTGTCACAGTTATAGGTCAGTGATTTCTTATTCTTAAAAGAGCAATAAATGATTTAAACACTGGTGCCATTTATTATAAAATGCACAAGTTATTATGTAACATTTTCCCTGTTTTCCTTTGACGTCTGGCCCAAAAAAAAAAAAAAGAAAATGTAGTCCTGAATTTTAGATTTTTCTTTCATTGTTAGATTTGAAAATCAAATAATGTTAACCTGTAGCATTTTGGGAACATTTATTGTAAATATATCCAAAGCATCAAAAGAGACCATACACATGAAATACTTTATTTAGTCAAGTGTTGTAGGGGATGGGGTACCAGGGGTTTAAGATTGAAACTATACTTTGCTGGAGGTTTTCGGTTAATGAGTGAGTGTTGGCGGCACGGTGGATCAGTTAGTCGAGCTGTTGCCTCTCATTGAGAAGGTCGCCAGATAGAATCCTGGCCAGGGCCCATGCTGGGTGAAGTTTTCATGTTCTCTCCGTGCATGCATGGGTTTTCTCTGAGTACTCCGGTTTCCTCTCACAAAACAAAAACATGCATGTTAGGCTGATTGGTAACTCTAAATTGTCCCTAGGTGTGAGTGAGAGAGTGAATGGTTGTTTGTCTCATTTGTCTCTATGTGCTTCTGTGATGGACTTGAGACCTGTCCAGGGTGTACCTCGCCTCTTGCACAGTGACTGCTGGACACAGGCACCTGTGAGCCCTGCAACCTAAAAAGGAAGAAGTGGGTAAAAGATAATGGATGGTTGTATGGGTGAGAGTGTACATGTGTTTGTCAGGATGCTCTATATACATTCATCCATTTTCTTTTACCCACTTTTCTTTTCCTGGACATGGGTAGCTGGTGTCTATCTCCGGCAGTCACTGAGAGACAGGATACACCCTGACCAAGTCGCAACCCCATCACAGAGCAACTTACAGACAACCATTCATGCTTTTATCCACACATGTTTATTTTTCCCCAATTCTGGTTTAACAAGCCTCCGCTTCCTGTAATGCTGTACTGCATAAAGCAGGTACAGCTAAAGAATGGATGGATCCAGATACTGCTTTTAGGATGGAAAACAGATTAATTAAAACATGTTAACAACTACTTCCTTTCGTTTAGAAATAGTAGAGTGTTGCAGCTTTAAGCGTCTGTTCAGTGTTTCGTCACCTTAGATCTTTTGCACTCTTGATTGGCTGAACTTCCAGGTTTTTCCTACTCAAATAAACCGTGTTCTTCTTGGAGGGAATTTTTTTTCTCCCCCTAAAATAAGCAAAAAGATCTTTTCTTTTCAATTTTAAGACAGCTGGGTGAGGGTTTGGTTCTGTTTACTGTGAAATAGAAGCCCACTTTTTTCGAACAACAACTCTGGGGTTTTTTTATGTTGCGAGCTTCACCTTTAATGGCCGACTCAGTGCTATCAACAATAACTTTTTTCTAAGTTTGTATAAATAAGTGCACATTTCTAACCCTGCTTATCTGAACAAACTACAAAGAAAATTCATGAGCAAGGAAATTTTGTTCTTGTGATCAGATGTCTCTTCAGGATGTGAATGTCAGGAATATATCAAAACAAGATGTTTTTTCTCAGCTGTTTTTGCAAAAGACCACACAGTATAACGTGGAAATGGGCTGTGAAGACCAATTTAAACAAAGTTACTTCTCCTCTGTTTATGATTTTAATGTGGTGGACACTACATCAGTTGACTGCTGCAGTAATGTTTGGCCATTATACAAAAAAATTATAAATGTTTACTATAATCCATTTAGATATAGTCCATATATTAAATAAACTTTGCAGTGTAAGGATAGGATCAGCTGATTCAGAGGCATCATTTAATTTAATATATACTGAATGTACTTCAAATGTAGTTGTAATGCTGTGCGTGTTGTTATATGTAGTTTATTTGAGTAACTAAGCTCTTTATCTGGTTCTGCTCTGTTTGGTATTTATTTTATATTCTCTCTGTTTCCACAAGAGGGCATTCCAAACTTTCTGTGCTAACAGTGTAAAATGTGTGGCACTGGCGATTCTGAAACAAAGCACCCTATTGTTTGAGTTGTAGGATGTGCTAATCTGAAGTTACTGATTTTGTCATTGTTCAGAGATCATTTCTCAGGAGGGCTTTATGTAATTGCGCTGCATTTTTCCGCATCCATGTGTTCCGAGCAACAATAATTCACCAAAGTGGGAACAGGCTTACACGAGACTCAGGTAGGCCAGGAGGAGAGGGGAGATGATTTATGGAATGGCTGGCTCCTCGCCTCGCTCTGATAGAAGTATGTGCTCACGCTGGAAAACAGTGTGCCACTGCCCTCTTCTCTGCTGGCTTCATTATCTGTTGTGAGCAGTAAATCATAGCCACATTCTGAATCCTGCTTTTATCTACTGACATTCCTTTGGTGGTGTTGATATTCAGGTACATGGCGTGTGCCAGGGAATTCTCATTACTGCACATGTGGCATCCACTCCTCTCAAACACCACCAGAGGCTATTCTCTTCCCCAAAGTTGCCCCTATTATTCAGTGAAGTGTCAGCTGTCTGAACGTGGAGGTGAAATAATGTTTTTTTTTTCGAATAATGAACGCTACATGTTCACAGATTTGCAACAGTCAAGTATGATCGAACATTTACAAACATCAAGAACACGTTCATGCATCTCACCAACTACAGCTTGAACAAAAAGAGCAGTGATTATGTCAGGTAAGCTGCCTCATGTACACTGGACAGGTTGCTGTTAGGGGAAGACCCCCTGACTCATCTCTTCATTCCAGCTCTGGTCTTTGAAGTGTATTTCTTTCTTTTCAGCTGCGATGACCCTGAAGTCGAGGATTATGGGAACAAATGGAGTATGAGCGCAGTGCTGAGGTATTTGAAGCAGGAGGGAAAAGACACCACATGTGAGTCGGGCTGTTTTGTACTTTAGATCCGAGTGTGACCAAACCATAATAAAGCTTTCAGAGAGTAATTATTTGGACCATTTTTAAAATTGTTTCTTTCCATTTCATCTGTTCCAGTGCTGATGAGACAAATTGAGGACCTCATCGTCAAAGCTCTTCTCAGTGCTGAGCTGCACATAGCCACTGCCTGCAAGATGTTTGTTCCTCATAAGACAAACTGCTTTGGTAATAATTTCACATTCTTGTTATAAAATTCTTGGCTGTTTTAAACAGTTTAGTCCTACTGCTAAAAATTAGAATCACAACTACTGTATTTTCCAGCTTATAAGTTGCACCTTTTTGCCCACTTTGCTTACCCTGTGACTTATACGTCTAAGCGACTTATTTATGGATTTTTTTCCCATATTTATAAACTAATTTTTGACTGAAATATGACCGTTTACATTCATTCTGACATTCAAAATATTGAACACTACCATTTTCAGCCGCCAGATGGCACTCAAGTAGTAAGGCATGCCGTTGTGTCATGTAATAGGTAAAAGTGGCTATTAATGACACAATTGGCTTGCCATAGCCTGCCACCTTTGTCCGGGATCATGCCTGGAGCAACCATCAAATCAGCTTCATTTCACTGCCCCGCCCCAGCAAAATTCAGCCAATTTGACCATTGAAGTGCATTTATTAAGTAAAAATTCAACTGAGACACACCTTTGCTATAATGTCGAGCAAACAAATAATTGTTTTTAAGTGGTTATCTTGTTAAATTTCGAAGAAATGCACAGCGATTCGTCCTGCGCGCTCCTGCTTCTACATATCGGCTTTTGAAATGCAGCTGATTTGACCGTCAAAGTGCATTTATTAAGGAAAAGTTAGACTGAGACACACATTTGCTGTAATTTCGAGCATAAAAATAATTGTTTTTAAGTGTTAATCTTGTTAAATTCTTGTTAAAGTCCTCCCGTGCATGCTCCAGCGGCCGCCATTTGGCAGCCAATCGATTTTTGGCACAACAACGACCCACATTTCCGGGTTGTCAGCGTTGACGCGTAACAAACGCCATGTGTCAGTGGTGATGCATAATAGATGCGACTTATATGGCGAAGCAACATATTTATAGATTTTTCCAATTTATTAGACAATTTGGGACTGATGCGACTTTTACTCTGCTGCGACTTATAGGCTGGAAAATACGGTAGTTATTTTTTTTGGCTCGCCTATAAGTAGTCACATTACCACGCCCTTCACAGTTCCTTTCAGTTTCAGATTCATTGTCTTGCAGTTGCTTCATAGTTTTTGTCCACTGAGCTATGCTGAGGTGGTACACAGTCTTTTCTTCATGTTGAGCCTTCCTGCCTGTTGCTGCCCTCCAACTGGCTGCCGACTTGTGGAGGGCCAGTCGACTGAAGCAGGAATTTGCTTCCTCTCTTCTATTGCCATTCAAGCTTTGCCTGATTTAGGCCGAGTATTTTCTTGGCTAGTCTTGTTCAGCAGCAGGCTTGTGTGAATTTCATTTTGGAGCCGTTACCCGTGTTAGTGTTGGCACTAATTGTCTGTGCTCTTTCTCTGAGTTTGGCGACCTTTCTGAAATTTGGGGGTTTGAAAGCGAGGATTTTGGCCCAGCTTCCCCCAGCACCTCTGTCTCTTTTTCACTCTCTTCTTATTTTCTCCTACTATTTCTGTTTGTTTATAATTCTCTCTGTCCTGCTCACACTTGCTTTCAGCTCTCTCGAGATGCCAGAAAAATAAAGGCTCCCTGAGACATAATAGCCCTCTGATTGGTGGTTGTTTGGGCTGTATTGGGCAGCAGCATGGGCTCACAATCTAAAACTCGCCTGCATAAAGATGCAATCTGCACCCCTAGTATCACTGCTAGGTATGAAAACCCACATTAAATTAGGCAGTGATTGTTTATCTCGCAGGAATTTACTGTAAAATGTAGCGGATCAAACCTCATCCTGCCTGTCTTTCATTCACACCTGAACTACATGAATAAACAACCAGATGTTTTCAAAAACGCTTCAGGATGTTTTATATTTCTACGCAAATATGGGCAGAAATTATATGAAGATATATCCGTTTAGCATTAAACAAAAAGAGAAACGCTGTAAATGCTGTTTAAGCCGTATCTAGTAAAAACACAAATGCTAGACAAAGAAAAAAAAATCTTAATATTAAGATGTATTGTTGTAAATATGAAGTATGAGCTTTAAGTTTGGAAGCAAAGTTTAAAGAAATATATTATTTAAATTCTCCATTGCTGCATTTCTGCATGTGGCTTTTTTTATTCTGGTCCACTCCATTAAATCAAGTAGATCAACAAAACACATCCCTTAGCTACATCTTTATTAGTTTATTACTTAATAATGCAAATCATATATAATTTTACAGAAAAAACAATTATCTCCTGCACTTTTGATTAGGACACATGATAACCTGCAGTCTGCAGTGAACAAGCCGTCATCTTCCTTCAATACTATCAGCTTACCATTGACTCTAGTGTGATTTTGTTGTCTTTGCCCCAGGCAAATTAATTATGGCTTTCATGGGGTGTCTAAGGTTTCCTCAAAACAGACACTGACGGTTCCAGAGGACCACCCTCATCTTCTTTTTGTTGCTCCGTCTCGGCTCGTTTAGTCCTATTGCATGCAAGCTCCCTCTCTGCGTCTGAGTATATATGTACAGTGTGAATACAGAGGCATGCTGGAACCCGTGAGTTTCACAAGCGTACAGGTCTCTCTCAGTTTCTTAAATGTTCATCTGTCAGGTACTTCTTCCTTAAATAAAACTTCTTCAAACCACCTGGAAGTTACATACTGTTTGTTTCCTTCCTTCTTTTCTTTCATTATCCTTAGCATGCGCTCTCTCCCTACAATCTACACACTCTTCTTTCTTCCTGGGCCTCAGCAGCTGCCTGTAATGGTAAATGTGCGTCAGAATGTGTGACAGCTAAACAAAAGTAAATGCATGTTAACTCAGCAAGCGCGCTGATGATAAAAACAGCCATTGTTTAGAGTTTTTATACAATCTATGGCTTATCTGGAAAAGAGCCATACGTGACCATAAAACACATTACAATCTTAATTTACTACAAATTGTTCCCTGCCATTTTAACGTCTATAAATGACTTTAATACAATGTTAATTGTTTTCAAAGGGGATTTCCCCCCCACTTTAATCAAATTGCATAATGTATCTAAATGGGCATAGCTTTATGTCTCACGCGGGAAGAAATAAAAAGAGATTTTTCATAGTATTTGAGATTGTAAAAAGTGTATATGAGCGTGTGTCTTTCTGGAGAGAAAATGCCACCCATGCAGCTCCTTACCGCTGCCATATGATTAATGGACAGGCTTTTTTGCTGAGAGATGCTGATTACGAGATGTTTTGACTAAGATCTGATTAGCCAAGCCAAAGGCCTATTTTATTACACACAAAACATTCCACTTACTGGTCCTATGTTCCACTCAACGTCCCTCATTAAGTGCTGAGTGTGGTTGGATCTCCCCTCTGCGAGTTACTCTGGGTGTTTCACATTTGTCAGATACTCCCACGTGTTGCCGCAGTGCGATGTTTGTGTCCCTGTGAGGACAGTTTAGCTGCTGTGTAACTGTCTTCTTAAGCTTGATTAATGGTTTAGGCCCTACTATTGCAATAAGACTGTAGAGTGCAAACTGGGGCTTTAATTTGTTGTCCTCCGAGTGTTTTTACAACTGTGGCTCCAAGCTGCTCTGCTTCACGTCTGACAGCAGTGAAACAGTTTAGCAGCCCTGATTTATCACAGAATGACGTGAAAAGTAATCCAATTGTCCAAGCCCATGAAGAAAACATACATGAAAGATGCTGCTGTTGTTGTGGGCCACCAGGCTGCGTGGCCAGGGTGGGGAGATCATTGTTTTTGGGCGTTCGTCTCTTGTGGTAAACTTTCCAGAGGCGCCCCTCCTTTAATAAAGAAAGAAAATGCTCTTCATCATCCCTTTTTCTTTGTCACAGCTTTTTCTTTCCATCCCTCTTTAATGGGTGTTATGTGGATGTTAAGCGCCTCATGTCTCCTTGTCTGTGATGCTTGTTGTGGGCTTTCTGTGGGCACGTTTAAAGCTGCTGCCCCGGCAGCGGTTGAGCCACAAAACAAAACGTCTGACATAAAGCGGTTCGGCTGGCTCGTGGGGCATCAGCGGCGTCTGCTTCTAATTGGGGGAAAATTTGTGGCACATGGAGTCTGTATGTCGGAGGCTGGCGAGGCGGTGCAACACCTCCCTGTTTTCCCCCCGTTGTTGTGGGTCCACTGATGAGGCAAAGCAGGCTCAAACCCAATTATCCCTCTGCCGTTTTCCAAGACTAAAAGATAATGTTTTATAATATACATGCTCAAACTCTCCCTCTTCTTTTAAATGTGTTATAAGTGGATAGAACAGGATAAGCTATCTAGTGGAAAATAAAATCATAGCGCTCTGCTGAGGCAAGCACATCAGGGGTCGAGTTCATCTTGTGAAATTAAAGATGGTAGTGAAAGCTTACGTTGCAGCTCCTGGCTCACGGATTGAATCATACACTAATACACGTGAAATAGAAAAACCCAATAATTTAATCTTAAGTGCATATGTAGACTCAGTTTTCCACAGGCATAAAGAAATGTCCATGTTGTAGCAAACATTAAATCTTGTTAAAAGAGTTTTCATAAAAGTATTGAGTTTAACATGGTCAATTAACAGATTTATGAAAGTTTCTTGTAGCGTCTAATCCTGCCAACACCAGGGATGTTTGCAAACTGCAACTACATCTTTGTATAAGGCAACTTGCTAATAAAGTGTTCAAGTTTCTAAAAAAAAGTGACCAAAATAAAGTTTAGCACATGTGATAGTTAATAGGCATATCGTTCCCTTGGTTACATTATATCCGTGTGTTATGAATCAATTTGAGCAAACCGTATGAGTTTTTGTAACTGATCATAATAGCTTTCTGATCACTTTTTTATTATTATTTTTTTTTTCTAATCATGCAGGTTTATGCCTTCAGCAAGTCGGTGGTTTTCCTCTAGGTTGAAAAGCACCAAATGAGAGGTCTTAAAATGATGTCCAGAAATAACATTAGGCTTAAAACGGATTGCCAATTTGATATTTTGATATGTTTGTTTCAACAGATATTTATCAGTAGTCATAAGTGGATGAAAATAAATAGGATACTGCTTGTTGACATTGTTTGGGTTGTTAGTTTTGTTTAATGTTTGTGTACTTTAACCAGCGATAGCTAGGGTCATAGGTCTCAGCTGTTGTTATTTTGTTGGTCAGAAGCCGAAATGTTTGGGAAGAGCCGCTATAAATAGCACAAAACTAAAAACGTTGATCCAAATCATTATTAAGGCTGCTATAGTTGCTTTATTACTCACTTCAAATAAATACCATTTGTTCTCATATACGTCTTATTAAAATTTCAAAGGACTAAATCAAGTAAATATTTTAACAATGCCTGATGAAATGGAGCATTTTGATTATAATGTGCAGATCCATTTTGTCTGGCGATTAAATGTTTAATGAGTTTTCCACCGTATTCTAGAAGAAGTTATGTCGACATAAAGACTGGTTAAAGTGGAACTGCTAAGTTTTATCTGTGCGGTGTGAAGTGCCGTATCAGGTCTTTGTCCACTGTCATGCTGGGTTTTGTATTCTTAACATTGGCATTGACCTGAGAAGCTTGAACAAACAGAGCTGGTTATTGCAGCTTTGAAACCTCTACCCCCCTGGTTTACTCTCAACACAGTCTGTTCTTTTGAAGTGCCATTAGAAGGATTTTTCCCTCTGGTTTTCTGGCTGGGCTCGACTCTATCCCTTTAAAAGACTGTGGTTTTGCTGCGTGCTGCTGCTGGGGCCGGTGGCTTATTGGGTGACACTCCCCAGAGCAGAGGGAGGCCTTTCATATGGCACGGAGACGGGCTGCTACAGTGAGCCATACATCAGTCAGTGAAATGAGAGAAAAGAGAGATGGATTGGATTTTTTTTTTTTTTTTTTTTGTCGACACTGGGGAACTTCCTGACCACTTTGTGAAAGGCTTTTATTGTGTCACTCAGTGCTTAGCTGTTACTGGAGTGAAATACTGTATATACAGTTCACTGCCCGAGGCTCGCAGGTTTCACCCTCCGGGACACATCTTCACATTTTGAGCTCCGCACTTCCAGATTTATAGTTCCAGTCGGACATGAATTGACCTCATGGTGGGGTTAAAGCTTTTTCTAGTACTGCTTACGACTCTTGTCTTCTGGTTAATAAAGTGTTGACTTTTTAACCTCACAAATAATGGGGAAATTGGTGACACAATATACACAGCCACACCTTGTTTTTAATCTGTGTTGCCAATTAAATGTAGTTTATTGATGCAATCAAGCCAATTACTTTTGACTATAACGTCACCCGTCGTTTCAGAGCAGGTCTTAGGCGTTATTTATTTTTAAACGTGGTTTGTGTTTTTTCTGGTTTGTCTCTCTCTACATTGAAGCTGTTTTGATTCACTTTGTTTGTCCCTCTGTAGAACTGTATGGGTTTGATGTGCTCATTGACTCCAACCTCAAACCCTGGTTGTTAGAGGTGAACCTTTCTCCCTCCCTGTCTTGGTGAGTGACTCAAACATTTGATTGTTTTATTTGCTGCTTTGGGAGAATTTCTTTCCAATTGCTCTTCCTTTGAAGGACAATTGCTTAATTTGTGAAACACAAACACTGGAAAAACTAAACTCTTACAAAAGCATTTAGTCGTTTGAACGTCATCTTTTGCCAGCTGGTTTGCTTTGCTCTAACGTAAACATATAGGATGAAAATGCTTGTTTGTTTCTGTGTCTCAATCAAAGAAAACATCTTTTTTTTTTCAGTGATGCACCCTTGGATCTGAAGATAAAGGCTAGCATGATAGCAGACATGTTTTCACTTGTGGGTGAGTTCATGTTGAAGCGATGAATGAATATGGGTTTCTTTTATGGTTTTCCACAAATCGTTTTACTTTACTGACCTCGGTTTTATATCAGATGAAAAAAGTGCATCAAGAAAGAAAGTTTCTATAATCTGTCATCGTGTAAAATTTCCATCCGTCCATCACAGGGCCACAATTACAACCCAGAGATTTCAAACAAATTCAGCTCGACTATTAGGTTTTGAGGTACAATACTCGGAAAACTAAAAGAAAATAACATTTATTTTATTACCAAACTATAAAATAGATTTAGCCGGTATAAAAATGAAAGTGTTTTACATTTTGCTATGTTCCAAAAACACAGCTGCTGGTTATCCGTTCTTGGAACGAGCAGATCTTTTTGTCTGTTCAGTGCTGTGTATACAGCTGAAAGCACCACTATGGCTTCGAACTATGTACTTCAGTATTTAGAAAATAAACTCCAGACTTTATTAATTACCATTAAATTACTTGCATAAAAAGTTGGCATCACAAGCCTCAGGGTTATTTATTTATTTATTTTTTGTGCTCATTATCTTGAGCCTGATGCCGAGTTGAACTTTATATAAAAAGTCTAACGGTGTTTGGCAGCCAAGCGAGAGATATGGATCTCTGTTATGTCTCCTCCCTTCTTCATTCATTCATACTTTGTGCACGCGTTGTCCTGTTCAGGATTGCGAGGGTGGGGCTGGAGTCTATCCTAGCTGTCATCAGGTGACAGTAAAGGTACACCCTGAACGGGTCGTTAGTACATCACAGAGCCCCCTCCCTTCTTAATGACAAATCTCTTTCTCAAGAACTCTATTTAACCCAAGAAGCATCTCAAAAACCTGAATGATTTAAGTAATGTCATGTAATTCTTGACTTTCACTTATTGCTATTCATATTATACACTTAGCCCGCTTGTGAACCATCTAAAGTGGCACCAAGACATTTTGTTTATCTGAAGTCTCAGCCTAATAATATTAGAGGAATGGCCATTACGTGCCCAAATGTTTGTGTGTGTTTTACCCTGGGCCATGCTGTGGCTTGAAACCCTCCCCTCAGGCTCATTAAATGAAAGAGTAGAATCATAAATTGCCAGCTATCTTTGGGCTGAGACGTTCCTGCGGGTCTAGAGAGAATGAGCAGTGGCATGTAAAACACAACACATCTATTTTGTACCAAACAAACTAAGTCGCTGTTGGCTGATAACACTTGGGCCGCATCCCAGTCCTGTAAATAATGACAGCATTCCATTAACATTCATTTTCTGCCGGCGCGTAGCTGTCAACTCCATGTCGCCAGTGTTTGTAATAATTGCTGCGTTTAGGCAAGAGCACGGCAGGGACCTGATGCTTAGCTGACGGCTTGAATGAGGCAGAACAAACAGCCTTAAGCTCAAAGCTGTCAATAGACTTCTTTCAGTTCATGTGGGAGTGCAAGATATGACATAAACAAATTTATTAAACAGCTCACTGTGACCACTGGTTAGCTTCGGGAGGGTGTGGGACACATAAACAATAAAATTACCCCCATAAATATTTCTGACAGGGTGGGAACATCTTGATGAGATGTGAAGTGATGAACACAATGAATGCACTTAAATATAAAGGTGTGAAACTATAAATCATATTCTGTGTGTTACTGTGAAATTTGCTATTTATTCATTTCATAAACAAATTTAAGATTATTATTTTTTTAATAATCTGGAAGATCAGTAGCACTTTCAAGCTGGATATCTTACCTTACAGACTTGTAGTAGGCAGTAAAACATAGCCTGACTTGGTGTAAAACTCACTCATAAACATGTTTTTACTACTTGTTTAAAGTTTGTATAAAAAAAAATAGACATATATATTTTTTTAAATTAAATAAAAAAGAAAAAAAAATTAACAAGCAAATATGCTGAAAGTATAAAGAAAGTATGTGGGAAAATAGCTAAGGGCACATGTGCAGTTTTCAATGTATTATATTGTCAGGGAAAATATTTCACCTTTAATACAACTACTGTATTTGGCAGCTTTTTGTTTAAATAAAATGAAAACATGCAATAGGGTCTCATTTAAGTTTCAAATTTGTATTAATAGCTCCATCAAAAACTGTCCAAACTTCATGCATGTTTTAATTTTTGGTAATGATCTCTTATCCAAAAGAATAGAATAGAAATATACACTATTAATCCCCTAATGAGAAATTAAATGCCAAATGCTGCTGGTCTCACTTGTCTCACCAGTATACTTTAGGCAGCTGTGTATTTGCCAGTTTGCTTAGTTTATTGTCAACTTTTTGCCTCCTGCACGCATGTTTCAGAGTATGAAATTTAGAGTGTGAAGACTATGGGATTAAGTCACATTTAAAGCCAGATTCTGTTGCTTTGCAGGCTTTGTGTGTCAAGACCCCCTATCAAGACAGCCTCGCTCAGACAGGGTCACCTCAGACAGGTTTTCAGCAGCCCACAGAACACAGGTAAGGCTACTAGCATGCACACATACACACACCGAGCTTTGCACTCATTGACCCTTCCTTGAAACACATTCTTGTCGTCATCCTCATGTTGCTCACAGTTACATTCCTGCTTCTGCCATCGAGCTCGTGTCTTCACCCTCATGGAAAGTTTACTGTAATGCAAAACAACTGCTAATGTAATTACAGCGTTTGAGTGACATCAGTTTGAAAGAGCTACACTCTGTGCCTTATTGTTTTATAATTTCTAATCAAATGACTAATGTTCTCTCTGGGTCTTATTGCCTAATGATGCCACAATTGCTAATGCACTTGGCTCCTCGGCTCGACTACTGCACCAAGTTTTTGGCGCTGCGCTGCTGGAGAAAGATGACTAAAACAGACAGATTTCTGCTCCACCTTATGCTGCATTACAGAGTTTGCTTAGACTCGGTAACAGGGTTTCATTGTGTCATGTCAATGTTGTTTTGCATGTTGTCTGTATGTGCTTTCGTAAAAAGCCCAACAGTAATGCAAATGCAATGTCTTCCTCTAGAAATCGTTTTCTGCACCAGCACCCACTGCACACAGCAGGCTGGTAAGTTTTTCAATGACTCAGACTTATTAATCTTTTTTTTTTTTTTTTTTTTTTGCTTTGTCCTGCTGCAATTTACTGATGCTTGTTACATTACTGGTAAGAAACTGCTTACCTCCTTCTCTTTGTTGATTTGATTATGTGGCTTTAAGTTTTTCACTGTGGCAGACTGATGGCTTTTATCGACATCTGACGCTATATTTTTAATTGAGCCTTCATTACATTAGCAAATTGGCCCAACTGACCCTGAATACTGCAATGCACCACTTGTGTAAAAAAGACAGAAACTTTGCTAAACAGAATCCCAGCTGCTTGGATGGAAATGAAGCCCAACACTGCATCAGGGCTGTTACAGAGGATTTTAAAGAACCAACATAGAACCTGTCCTCTCATTTCACTCTGATCAGGAGCAACAGTTTAAATGTTTTGCTGAGGGATTAGGTCTTGTCACTGTTTGGCTGCCTTGGTACCCCTCCAGCCGTGTAAATCAAATTAAACATAATCCCCCTGCTATTTAGATGACAAATTTTGTATATGATCCGATAGGGTTGTGCCCAGCTTTTTGGCCAGTTCTCCAAACTACATGCCAAAGTCGTCAATCAGTGAGGGAGCCGGGGATGCCAGTGTTTTACAAAAACGCTCTATTTCTGGAGCAAAGAAGAGAAAAGAGTGCCTTCTGGTTACCACTCATGTAGTTTTCATATTTTTCTTTCATAAATGGAAATAAATTAATGAAGATATAACTTACTCTTATTTGTCAGGTGACCCCAAACTTTCATGAACTTGGAACACCGTTTATTTTAAACGAGTGATGGCCTCGAATAAAATAGTGGTTTATCTCATCTTTTAGCGACAGAGGCCCATACCTTCTGTTAGCTCGGAAACAGACAAGCAAGGAGCTAAACACAGCCAAGAAGACAGCACCCTCAACCTGACTGCTGAGGAGGTAAGGCGTGGTCTAAAAATATAAAAAACATGAGGCCAGGCTGACCTTTTGTGTGTTGACGCAATAAAAAGTGAACTTCTTTAAGAAGTTGTGTCTTTTTCTAATCTAGATCAAAGTGCTGAGGAGGATAAAGGAGGAGTATGAGAGGCGAGGAGGTTTTATAAGGATCTTCCCCACTGAAGATACATGGGAGCTTTATGGGTAATCTGAGCTAACAAAGAACAGTTGGATCTATTGAAGTTCTTGAGAAGTTTGTTGCTGCCCTCTGCTAAGATGAATATTTATTATGAATTAATTGAATCTTCGCTTTGAAGCCTGGAACATGTGACTAAAACCGAACGTACCCCAAGACAAACAAAAAAGCTGGCAGTTTGTTCTTAGGCTATTTGTAAACGTTTGTGTATGTTTCAACAGATAATCCCAGTTCCTTTGTATCAAAATCAGTTTTTGTTCTTGTATATAATTTTACCACTCAGCGATTTGTTGCTTGATTTGCTTCACGACCAACACAGCAGCAGGAAATATTTGCATAAAAAAAAAAAATCCCATTATTGAGCAGTCTAGGAAAATTTGGGGGCAACTACTGTAATAGGAACTTTTTCCGTTTAAAGCTTTGCACATTATAATAATAATAATGCTAATAACTTTATTTACAAAGTCCTTTAAAACAACCACAGCTACGTGCTGTACACGTAAAATCAAGAACATTTAAACACATAAGAAGAATAAAAACAGTTAAAACAGTAAAACCACTTAAAGCAATAGATCTAATATACACATATTAGGAGGCTGAGACTAATCTGGGCCCTGCCTTTATGATTGTTTTAATGCTTTTATTATCTTTTTCTTGCAGAGCATATCTGGAGTCCAAGACGTCACTGAACCTCATGTTGGCTAACAGACTTTTCCATGGAAGGTAAGTGTTTCCATTGTGGTTGGGAGTGGGGTGATACATTTCTCCATGAGTTTTTGGAAATTCTTGGGTTCCAACCTGGTATTTGTTAGTTTTTTTTTTTTTTTTTGGCTGAATTAGTAAATGGAATAGCTAAAAATATGATGCAGCTTTTCCAGCACGTGCCTATTATCTCTATAGCATTTGTGGTGTCAAATTGGGGGGAGGAAGAGGGGAAAGATGGTTTTAAATAAACTGTACAATGTCACTTAATCACATTTTTATCACTCCACATTAAATGCGTTAGGCAATAATGATTTCTCCTGTGTCTATGTGTGTGTGCTTGTTTGTCTGTACTGTTACCTAAATATCTCTTGACCCAGTAAATGTGATGAAACGCTTTAAAAGGAATCGCTGGATGTACATCTACAGTTGATTAATTATAGGAATTATTAAATTAAAGATGGACACCACAGCCAATAGATTTTGGGAAACACAACAATTGCTGTTACTTGGCCAATTTAACATGAGCTAAACTTTGATGTGGTAGTAGCTGAGCATCATACTCTGAGCACACGTCTCTTCCCAAAATGTTTCATCAAGTACTGGATGAATTTCAATAAAACTCTCAGAAAGTAATGATTGGATGTACAGGTGCATCTCAAAAATTTGAATTTTGTGGAAAAAGTTTTTTTTGTCAATCATTTCAGAAAGTGAAACTCATTTATTAAATGTTCATTACACAGAGTGAAATATTTGAAGCCTTTATTTCTTATAATTTTGATGATTATGGCTTACATTTAATGAAAAAACAAAATTCATTGTCTCAAAAAATTAGAACATTGTGAAGAGGTTCAATATTGGAAACTCCTGGATTCACACCCTAAACATGAGCTTGAGAACATAGGTTCTTCTGGGACGATTCTATGGTGTTCCCAGGCCAGCCGAGAGGCGTAGTCTCTCCAGTGGGTCCTGGGTCTTCCCCGGGATCTCCTCCCAGTCGGACATACCCAAAGCACCTCCCTAGGGAGGCGCCCAGGAAGTATCCTTATCAGATGCCCGAACCACCTCAACTGGCTCCTCTCGATGTGGAGGAGTAGCGGTTCTACTCTGAGTCTCTCCTGGATAACTAAACTTCCAACCCTATCTCTAACGGAGAGTCCAGCTACCCTGCGGAGAAAACTCATTTCAACTGTCTGTATCCACAATCCCATTCTTTCAGTCACTACCCCAGAGCTCGTGACCATAGGTGAGGGTAGGAACGTAGACTGACAGAGAGCTTTTCCTTACATCTCAGCTCTCTCTTCACCACAAGGGACCAGCACAGAGTCCACAATACTGCAGACGCTGCACCAATAAGTCTGTCAATCTCACGCTCCATTCTTCCCTCATTCGTGGACAAGACCCAAAGATACTTGAACTCCTTCACTTGAGTCAGAACCTCACCCTCAACCCAAAGAGATCAATCCACCTTTTCCAACTGAGGACCAAGGCCTCAAATTTGGAGGTGCTGATAGCCGCTTCACACTCTGCTGCGAACCGCTCCAATGAGAGGTGAAGATGACGGTACAATGACGCCAACAGGACTACATCATCTGTAAATAGCAGAGACGGAATCTTGAAGTCACTGAACGAAACTCTCCCTAGCTGCACCAAGAAATTCTGTTCATGAAAACCGTGCAGATGACCTGACTGAACATTGTTGGATTTTTACCTGGATTATTAAGCATGAACATTGGTCTGTCCATAAATGTTATGAACAGAATTTCTGACAATGGACAGTCCTGACGGAGTCCAACTCTAACCCTGAAGGTGTCAACCTTACTGCTGGCAATGCGAACCAAACTCTTGCACGTGTAGGGACCGAACAGCCTGTAGCAACGGCCCCCAATTCCATACTCACGGAGCACCCCCCTCAGTGTACCCTGAGGAACACTGTCGAAAGCCTTCTCCAAGTCCACAAAACACATGTAGGCTGGACGGGCAAACTCCCATGACCCCTTAAGGACCCTAATGAAGGTAAAGAAAGTGAAACTCTGTTCCAAAAAAACGATTCCAAACATTTTCCAGACAATAGAAAACTATTCCAGCATTCCACAGCCAGGACAGACTTGCAGTGTTCCTCCTGGATGTGTGGTTCAATCAACAAATGGACTCACTTCTCCAATACCCCTGAAAAGGCCTTACCAGGGAGGCTGAGGAGAGGTATGCCCCTATGATTGGAGCACACCCTACCACAGTCCCTCTGCCAGTCCAGTGACACTGCTCCCAGTGCTGCAAAGGCGTGTCAACCAAGACAGCCCCACAACTTACAGTAATCGGTTTTACTGATATTCAGCTAAATTTGGTGTGGTAGTAATAGTAATACTAAAAGTTTCTCTGAGCATTAGCATATTTCTCAAGCTCTCACATCACATGATTTTCTTTTTATTTACAATATTTCATCAAAACAGCTACAAATCTTTTGCTTCTCGGCACAAGATAATTTAAATTTAAAGCACTGGCCTGTAATGTATCCGGCTACATGCACAAGTAATGCTAGGCCTTTAATTGTTCTTATAAAACATTACCCATTCAGATTATTTGATGCAACATGGACTTTGAAGTTTTAAGCTTTGTTCTGACTGGAGATTTGCCCCCCCCCCAAACTAAGCCATGATTTTTCCATATTGGTTGGGTAACCAGATTAGGGAGGATGTTGTTGCTGCATAAGCCTCAGTTTTTGTTGTTGTATGACATTTATGTTCTCTGTTTGGACCATGAATCTTCTGGACAAGCTGCACTAACATTTTTCACAACTGGCTTGAAATTTACAAGCATCTCTCTGCTTTTTAATTGTCGATGATATGCATATGAATCATCATTGCTGTTAGTAATTCCTCTATCTTGCTTTGCCTCTCAGGAATGTGAATGGGAGTGTGCAGCTGCAGGTGGACACAGTCCATGGCTGTCACGTTGTTCAGTATGAGAGGAAGCTGCTGTCTCTAGAGGCAAGGAAAAGGAGACAGCGCCACCTGAGTTATCACTCTGCTGCAAGGAAGAAAAAACGGGGTACGTCTGGTGGATTCTGCCAAAGTTCAGAAAACCGAATGCAGCTAACATCACATGCGAAAGCACTTTTGGTTCCAATAAAAAAACTCCCTAGTGTCACAGTAAAGTTGGCCAAATATGACTCTGAATGAGTTCATTTCTTTGCAGCAACAATAAAAAGCTTTTTTAAGCATATGTGTATTTTATCCAAAATGCCAGTGATGTAACTGACATTTGTCTTTTCTTACACTACTACATACCTCAGGGAAGGAATCCAAGGCCTCCCTGACTGAGAACAGGAGTCAGGAGGCAGAGGAGTGTGCTCAGGAGGGAAGAGAGGCGCAGCCACTACTTGGGCCAGTCTCGCGCAAGGCTTTGGTACCAGAGCAAAGAAAACAAGTGGACACACCACTGGAGCGCTGCCACAACAAATCTCTGTCCAGCTCGGAGGCAGCCACGCACAATGCCAGACCCGCGGTCAACCTGCTCAACATCCTTCAGCAGGGGTGGGACCTCAGGTCAGACTGGGCTGCTGTTCATGTTGGCTCCTGCTCCCATCTTCCTCCTCTATTCTTCTCTTTCACGTTTATAATCTTTCCCATTTAATGGAAAATGGTATAAAGTTGCTCTGATGGAGAGAATCTGAAAAAGTCAAGTTCACCTTACATGCAGAGATTTGTATTTTTAACAGATTGTTTTAGCTTTACTCATGTTTCGTGTGACCACATCACAGTCATAGGACAGGGTATAAATAAATCTGCAGGTGTAAATTCATGTACATCTGTTTCAATAGATTTATTGTTTATTAATCATTCAGGGATTAAAAAAAGCCATATATCTGATTAAACAATTAGCTCTATTTTTAGCATGTGGTATTTGGGTTTACTGAGATTGACTCAGTTTTAAAATATAGACAAGTCTGTCAGTGTTGTTTTGCCTACAAATAATAGTTATTAGCCACCATTAAAATATCTGTGTGTTTTTATGTCTGTCAGCAAAATATCTCATGAACCACATGATGGATTTTAATGCAACTTTCATAAAGTAATCTTTGATTGATCATCTACAATCACCTTTTGGAGACAAATCAGTTCAAAATGGTCCCCACATTTATCTTGTCCCACACAAACATGCCTATAGTTTAGCCAGGTTTTACTGCTATTGAGCTACATTTTGAAGGTAGTGGTTGAGATTCATCCCAAACATTTCATAATCCCACAAGATTATTTTCAGGATTTGACCAAACTGGCTACAACATTTCTCAACATAAGATGATCTTAGTCTAAGACCCTGAGATGAGAGGTGTAGATGAACAGATGCTGGGATATATTCATCATTTAACGCGGGTTCCTCAAATGACAGTTCCTGTCCCACAAGGTTCTAAAGGTCAAGAGTTTTGACCTTAGACTTAGTTTCGACGTAGGCCTAGTCCACTACAGAGGTGGCGAGCAATAAATATGCATTATTTCAAGGATTGCTAGGCCTGTAATTTTAAAACAGTCTTGTAAATATTTTACTTTTTTAAAACCATTTTCTGCTGTTTTCAAAATCAGTTGGAACTTTTGCAGTTTTTTTTTTTTTTTTTTTTACTTTTTACAAAGAATACAGCAAAACTGGTATGTAAATGAATTACAGTTTACTGAACAAACCAAAACTTGCTTTAAAAACTGAACTCTGATGATTTTCTTGTGCCTGAAATTGTAGTTTGACAAAGAATACAGTGACAAGTTTGACTTTGCATAAATTCCTCAGCGCTTTCTGGGCAGCTGTGAAATCATACAACATATTTGTGTTTGATAACTTTTTTAAATTTAATTTTTCTTCCAGCGCTACTTTTCTGACAGTACTTTCTCCAAGTTTACCTAACCTAATAAAGACAGTTTATCATTCTGACACAGTTGGAGAAGAAATGAAATGTTTCAACAACTTTTGGCTGCAAGAGTTACGAGCTTGTTTTTGTTTGCTTTTTTCTTCAGAGTCAGATTTACGAAGTGCAATTATTTTGTCTTCACTCTTATAGCAGGTTTATCACAAGTAAAAATAGCTTTTTATTTTGGGGTTTTAATTTAGATTGAATTTTGACTTTTTATAAATCAGAACACTACGATGGGATCCCAACACAAACACTCTAAGACATGGCTCAAAATACAGGTTAAAAAGAAAAATAATTCAGCTACACCTATTTTGAGTGTGAAAAGAACCCCTAAAGGTAAATTGTACTCGCTACATGTTGCTGTTTTTATTGACCAAATAAATCACTGCATTTACTATGTTTTACTACTTTCTGTTGCCTCAGATTTAACCTGGCAACTATGATCAAGCAAACAGTGTGAAAACGCAATCTTTCAGTGCACTTATAATAGGAATCTGTTCCCTAACACAATCTTCTCTCTGTTTTTATCTTTCCTTCTTAGTAAAGTGCAGGCTCGGACTGCTTTTTCTTCCTACCTGCACCGGGTTCAGCAAAGGCTCTTGGCAGAGAGCAGAGTAAACACCATTTTAGCTGGGTCAGACAAGGACAATGACCAAATGGTAACATTTCAAGAACTTTTATACCTCTTTTTTTTTCTTTTTCTATTAAATGAATATAAGTGATGCAAATACCAAGCTGTGGTAGCTTGGTGGTCAGTGCCACGGCCTTGTAATCCTGAGATGTGGGTTCGAGCCCAGGTTGCGTCAGGAAGAGCAATTGACAAATTGACTAATCTTTCTTGCGAGTTTGCTCGCTGTGGCAACCCCTGAAGAAGGGAGCAGCCGAAAGAAACTTACTTACTTACAAGCGATGCAAAAACACATGGAGTGAAAATAGTGAGTCAGACTGGAAAGTTTTTAGGATTCATCATCATCAGTGACGTGAAACCTTTCAGGAAAATCAGTGTGGTGTTAAATCAGTCTATTCTTTTACACTGAAAGGCTGCATCTCTTTGAAAACCAGTGCCGTAATTGGTTTTTATGCATTTTATTTGTGTGCACAGGAGCTGGTGATTCGATTCCTACGACGAGCAGTGAGCAACCTTCAGCAAGACATACAGGTTGTTTTGCCCAGTCGCCTGTTACCGCTCCAGGACCGCAGACGCATCCTGTCCCACCAACTAGGAGAGTTTATCCACTTTTACAACAAGGTATTATTTCAGAAAATTCACTTTAATCACTCAATTACAGTTCTGGGCAGGGATGGAACAGAAGACGTTATAATATTTACACACAAACAACTGAGAACCGACACCTTTTTTTTTTCTTGTAAGGAAACTGAACATTTAATGACCAAGCAGGAGGCTAGTGAAAAGCAGTGTTGTGTAAATCAAAGAGTATTTCAGGAGTACATCACTGCAGCAAGGTTAGTGAATATAAAAACACTCTTTTGTTCAATGTTGTTTTTTTAGTTGTATATGCTGCTGGGTGGACAGTAATAGTAAGTTGTTACAAACATTCCTGTACTGTCTTTTTACTGTTTCCAGTGAAAATGATCTGGAAGAAGTGCTGACATTCTATACACAGAAAAGTAAATCGGCCACCGTCTTCTTGGGAGCTAAAGTCAGACGTGTCAAAAAGGATGTTCAGGATTTAGGCAAAGGTTCTAAATGTAAGCTCTGTTACCCCCCCCCCCCCCCCCCAATATCTGGTTGTGTTGTATTTTTGTCACCTATTGCACACAATAAACATCAAATAATTCAAACTCATTGTAGGAAAACAAATGTGTGATAACAGCTTTGGCTTCTTTTCCTCTCTGATCAGCTCTCCTTGTGGACTCCAGAGCTTCAGACTCCTCGCTCTCTACAGGGAGAGTCAGCAGTGACTCAGACATCAAGGCCACAGAGAGTCAGAAGTCTGCGTCCATGATCCCTTCAGACCAACAGACAGATGTTACAACTGGTAAAACTCAACCAGATGTCCAGTCGTCTCAGCACTCCTCCAGTTTTCCCCTGACCTTAGATTGCACTCACGCTCATCTGCAGCACTGCTCTCCTGCTGCAGCTTTCATTCCCCTTCACTGCCCTCCGCCACCCCCTCCTCAGCCTCCATCTTATGCGCAATCCATGGCAAAGTCTCACTTTTGCCATTCAGAGACTCATTCTGACCCTCCTGCATACACCTCTGCCCCTATCATCACGCAACCTCCAAAAGTGGTTCAAACTGCCACAACTACTGCTCCTTACACTGTGACTACTGGGCAATCAGGACAGGTGCTCAGAAGGATTCAGTCTTTTGCTCCATCCACTTTTAGCTCCGGAGCAACTGCCTCAATCCCAGCTATTACGCACATCTACAGCCAGAAACTCTCTAGACCCACTTCTGCTGGTCAAGGTAATCTAATCTAGTGTTCTACATGCCCTTTGTAAAACAAATTCACTGATATATTCTCGTTTCTTTTTTTTCTTTTTTTAGAGCTCAGGAGGAGCAGTTCCAGTAAGCTCAAGCCAAATTCAGTGGGGATGTTCAAGGAGTTACAGACCTTGTCTGCTCAGGCCCATTCCAACCAGCAAGCATTCATTGCAGCCCTGCAGAAACTGGCTGACAAGCAGGTTGCTCCCCACTGTTCCAGCTCCAGTCACATCAACCTGCTGACACAACATGTAGGTTTATTAAGCCTCAAGTTCACCCAGCCAACAGCTTCAACTACTTAAAGCATGGGACTATACTGACTTATTAAGCTGCTGTAAACTGATCTGTGTAATGTTTTATGTAAGGAAGAGAAATCAGCAGCCTCTCACTGTGAGGTCTTTGATATTTCTCTTTGTTGATGCGTAAATCGGGCTCAGACGCCACGCTGATGTGCGGCATCTAGCTGCTCATTCTTTCAGCAGACCTGTTGGAGCCGGAGGGTCTGCTGCCTCGTCCCGAACACCTTCCTCCCTCAACCCTCAGCTTGCCTGCCGTCTGTGGGCTGAGGCGAGTGCGGGGGTGGGTCTGGAACTAAAGTTTGAGGCTGGCTGGCCTCAACAGTGGTGAGCTGCATTGAGCCATAGCTCTGTGTGAGGTCTCATTATCAGATGCACCATGGGGGAGTGATTTCTGTTGATACTTAACAGGCAGCCGCTTTTTTTGTGTGGTAATTGATGCTTATAAATAGAGGAATGTGGCAAATTGGCACTGAACAGAGGAGTGGCAGCTTGGCTGGCTCCATCGCCACCTTCTCCTGTATTTTCAACGGTTTGGCCTTTGGGTTTGGGAACCCTTAAACCTTTCCTCCCTCTTTTTGCTTCTTCACCTCCCGCTTGGCTACGCTGAATTTTTTTTCTGTCAGGTTTTTTTTTTCTTGTGATGGCACCAGACCACACAGACTGCAGCTTTTATGGCTTCCTTTCTGACCGTACGTTATTCTGTCTATCTAAAAAAGTACATCTCCCAAGAGTAGTCAATCCAGAACATGACAGCAGCTTAGTCAAATAGTCCAGTGTTTGACACTTACAGGCTCAGAAAGCATTTGGGGGTTTTTATGGCTCATTTTTCAAGTCATTAAATCACTTTCTGGGCTAAATGGAGAACTTTGTAAACACGAAAACCACTCTGTTACACGGTTGACCTCAGGGTCAAGTTATTACTTTTTCATGAAGGGATCTATAAACAAAACAAAAAAAAGAGATGGAAATTGAGTAAAACCAGGCATAGGCACCATCACATAACACTTGAGTGTAATGATGCGTTGATATGATTGTGGATCCCTTCTGCATGTGTATATCTTTATATCCATAAGTAATAAACACATAAACAATCTTGAGAGTTCGAGCTGAGATGATTGGACTTGATGGAGAAAGATAGTCACTGTAAGTTTGTTACTGGTTTGTTCCACTTTGGAGTAAGATGTTGGGGGAAGAATCAGTTTTGTGTTGTGTGTTTCCTTGACTGATGAAGCCTTCTGGATGGAAGTTGAAACGTTTCAGCACAAAAAAAAAGAAACTGTCCAGATGACCTGACTGAAAAATGTTGCATTGTCTACCTGGATTATTGAGCATGGACTTTGATAGTCTCTGTAACTTTTTTTTTCTTAAACGCAGTTTAGATTTAGCACTTTTAAACAATATAACCGGTCTAACTTAATAAGTAAACCAGAGCTGTGGCTTTGTAACAACACGCTGGCAAATTTCTCTTTTAAGTCGTTTAAGGCTTGGCAGCTCTACAATTTTCCCATTGGACACGAGCGCACGGGAGGAAATAAAGTAAATAAAATACCACAGCGATGTGATTAATTCTCCCGTAAGATTTTACTGAACATAATTCTCATGAGAGCATTGAGCCACACAGAGGTACTTTTGCTACAGAATTGCTGATTGGGTTAAAAACACATGTGGCATGGCAAGTCATGATAACTGATCCTGTTTAAGGATTATGGAGGAGCAGGGGGAAGCTAGATTTACTGCTAAACAGAGACTAGCTGTGTCATGTTCTGTGTATACATTGCACATAGATACAAAAGATAAAAGTGGATGATGAAGGGAGGGACACACTGAGACACTTTAAGACAAGGGGTCCACTGACAGCTAAGTTTGATTAACGTGACTCAGCGTTAAAGCTTACTTTGCTTTAAGAGATAATACTTATAGTAAATAGGGCAAAATTGTCAAATAATCTGCCTTTCTGTTCACAGCTGACCCACCTGAACCTGGCCAACAGGATGCTGAGCAGAGAGAATTTAACACTGAACTCCAAAGCTGCTGCAACCCAAAGACTCGTGAGAGCTGCTCATTCTGGAAAAGATCAACTAAGCAGCACAGGGTAAGTTCGAGACAAAACATTTTCAAGTTAACTTTTTGATTATCCTCTTTTTAAAAAGAAGAATAGAAAAAAAACACTATTATTGATTGTTTTAAAAGTTAATTCCTGTACAAAAGATGCCTTCTTTGTCATTTGTACAGTAGTCACTTGCTACTTCGCCGTTCGTTTATCGTGGACTCACTCTATCGCGGTTTTTCAAAATAAGAGTGGTCACGACACACAATTGGCTGATTGATGGATGAGCTGCACGATGGGCATGGAATTTATTTTTATTTAAAATGAATTATTGTAAATTATTTAGCACCTGCTGCATCTTTGTGCAGCCCACACTGCAGGATAAGCTCCCTGCTGCAGCTGATCAGCTGTTCTCTGTGCAGAGCAGAGAAGTGGATGTGACCGAGACCACTTGCAGATGGCAGAGAGCAGATGAGGCGGGGAGCTAAAATCATGACATTTTGTGCTCTTTTAGAGCGTTTAGAGTTTAGAAACATTGTTTAGATTTTTGCAAGACTGTGGGAAGGGTTTAAACGCCTTTACACACACACACACACACACACACACACACACACACACACACACACACACACATATATATATACATAAAATAAGCTACTACTTACTACTTTTATTGCTATCTCTACTTCACGGTTTTTCACTTATCGCGGTGCTTCAGGGTACAGATCCCCCGTGATAAACGAGGGACTACTGTATATACAAATTCTATTCACAGGAGTTATACATATTATCTTGTGATTTAATGTCATTCATAAATGTTCTAAATAGTTTAAATAAAAAATTCCCTCCTCAGTGGAGAAATATTACAACTTTGAGTACCAAACTTTGAACAAAAGTTAATATACACAATGAATGGCAGCTATGAAGTTCCCCTTTTCCAAAAAGAAATTAAAAAAACTTATGTTTTCACTTTCATGGACTGTGTATAATCACTTTAAGAAGCTTAGTTTCTTTAAACCTTTATTAGAATTCATGATTGCGGTCAATTGACATGTTGAGTAAAACTCTATGATACATTCCCTATTCTGAACATTAATGCATCATATCTGTGACACGGCTTAAAGTGGGTTGAATTTTACAAAGTTGTTTTTTATCCGCCCGTCGACGGTCTCCGTCTGTTCATAAATTTTCTCTTCTCCCGCCCATAACTTCCGATCTGCTCATGATAATTTAACCTTCATACATACGCGCATCATCACCAGATGGAGAGCTACGTGTAATTTTCTTCACCCCAGCTCCAAGGTCACAAATCAAGGTCAAATGTTATACAAGTCCTTCACTTGTTTCAAAGTCAAAGTCTCCTTTATTGTCAATTCCGTCATATGTGCAGACATACAAAGAATCTAAATTACATTTCTCGCTGTCTCTCTGTTTGGACCCTTGCTATAGATTGCTGTATTGTTGTATAATAGTTTGTCGACGTGCATATAATGAGCCGTATGCTGTTATTCTTGTTCTTGATATTAATTATGTGTAGGCTTGAAAAAAGCTGCTAAGGTTTTAAATCTGATTTGAGAATTTTCTGTTTAATGTATTTCACCCCAGACAGCTATAGCAGTCTATACGGTCACACTCAATAGAATCTAAAGGCCTGTTTAATGATCCCTGACAAACGTTTAGATCGAGGGTTGTTGGTCTTTGGAAAAGAATTGGAGTGCCAGCACCCTTTTTGTCAGTTTAGTGCAATGCTGTGTCTGGAGCATTTTTTTAAATTTTCATTTCATTTCTTTTTTTTCTCCTGTTAATATGTGACTGGTAATGTCTCAAACAGCTTGGCCCTGATCTCGGACTCTGTTTTTTCAGCCCAGTCCCTAAATGCATCGAGCTGTCAGAGTATTCCAGGAATGTCTGGCTGGTCCCCCTTTTTTTTTTAAATGTATTTTTTTTCCCCCCACAAACAAAGAAAAGATTTTTAATGGACTTAATAATTTCACAGATGGTTTAATCTAATTTTTATGTGTTTCACTGGAAACAGAAATCACACTTCAATTGACCCACTGCTCTGATGGATCACCTTTTTTCAGATTTATAGAGGTTTTAAGTTCAACCGCTGTTTTAGTTCTTCTTTCATCAGAAAGTAAATGTTAGTATGGGTGTACCTTTCAGCTTTTCATATTTTAGGTTAACAATTCCAAAATCCAGAGGGAAACTGGCCTGGAATACAAAAAGCTCTCTTGTGCCTCAGCTTGGCATCATTGTGTTCAAACGTCTTTAATAAGATATTACGATAAATTGTCTTGATTTCATCCCGACTCTGTTTCTTAAAACTGAGTTTCCTGCGTCCCCTCCCCCTACACTTGGACTCCCGGTTTGTGCCAAACATACTGAAACTGTTAAGCACACGGGCTCTTTTAGCAACCACAGGGGTGAAGTATGATGGGTTTCAAAGAGTAGCACGCCTCTTTGAAGTGCTGCAGCCGGGATCTACCAGGTATGCTGCATCAGCACTCTCCGAACTCTGACTCGTGCATGTGGATAATCAGAAGGCTGAGAACCATACAGCATATCCTCATACACCCACACTTAACACAGTGATCGCTTCCTGTGTTTGAATTCTTGGTACTTTTATGATTTATTTTTATTCAAAGCACTTGTGAAGTGATGTGAGGTATTTATTAAAAAATAAAAAAAAACTACACAGATGACAGGGAGTCGGACTTTTAGAGGTCAGTGTAGTACACTTAAAAATTATTTCTGCGAGGACTCAGAGAACCAAGTTTTACTTACAGTCGATATTATACAACGCGGTTAGTAAGTGCTTTTTATTACTTTGGTTTGCTGGAGCCAGCTGTGGTAATAACTGGTTTTAGTGGGTTTTTACACATTAGCCAGGTGAAAATCGAGATTAGCGTAACCTCTCCACAATAATTTTCAAATATTTTCTTATAATAGGTTGTATGTTTGCCACAGCTCTGGATAATTTTATTAGTGCCTCATTTTTTTTTTTTTATGTTTGTGCTTTGGAAAAATGTCTTCTAGGATAGATTGCTCTCTTTTCACTGAACAAAACTACTTTGTAGCACTTTTCATACAACGGCAATAAACTTTTTTTTTTAAAATTTAATTCAGATTCTGAAAATGAGAAGTATAATTCTTTATATACACTTTTGGATGTTTTGATAGAATATATATTTTTTTGTTTTATATTCCTTGATGGATAATGGATTTGGTAAATGTATATTTATTGAACCAACCAGTCGACTCATCAGAGAAACTTAACTTAAAAAACAATCATTCTTTTGATGAGAATCAAAGTCCTACAAAATTGGTCTGGTGTCTCTTTTTCTTTGCGTTAAAAAGAAGAGAAGGTTTTATTTGCTCTGATTGGAGCCAGATGCGATGAGAGGAAGGAGAATCTTTAAGGTAAGAACGTCTGAAGTTCCAGTCACTTGATTTGGTTTTCTTACAAAACCAAACGCTTTTACAGCTGAACGGATTCGGACCAAGAAATATGTGGAAAAAAATCGTCGACTTAATCTGTTGTTACACATTGTAAGAGATACTTTGTTTTCACACATTTAAGCGAGCACAGATAAAATCCAGTTTCACCCTAAATTCAATCAGAGCCTCTAACTGAACTTTATTATGTAATTTGAAGCTATTTTTGTCAAATATTTGCACATTTAATCTGCACGTTTCTCAACCTAATCTAACCAGCTTTTTCTGATTGGCAAATGACTGATTCAGTTAACAAAATATTCAGATATGTGGGCGTTAAACGTTTTATAAATGGGTATAAATGTTTAACTTCAAGTCAATGATAATGCCACAGATTTTACAGACCATTGGTATCTTTAACATTTATCATTACTCACGCCTGATTTAAATAAAGTGTCAACACCCCTGGCAATGCTACACTGAAAAACCCCTCAAATACTATTATTTTATTTGTATCTGAAGAATGGTTCAGCCCTATTTCATGTTGTTGCAGTCATGCTTTGTAAACAAACACTGATTAATGGCTGGAAATACCCTGACACTCTTGAGGCGGCTGATGTTTACACTAACCAGGCAGGCCTTCAAGATACTCTGGCATGATGTCATTTCAAATGGTTCTTTTTCCCACATTCTCTCCGAGTTAGATTGATGCTGCACATGTGCTCTCGCACGGCTCTGTTGTTCAGCAGTAAGTTATATCAGCATATTAAAGGACAACGAGCTCAGCGTGGCGTAAGCTGACACCCACGAGCAGACGTCCGGCTGGGAGGGGAGTCCTAGATAGTTGGAGCTCTACACGTGTGCGTTAATGAGAAGTTCAGCTGTAAATCTGCTCTTCTCTTTCATAACTTTTTATTTCATTCGTTGCTGTGTTGGAAGAAACCACTTCCTCCTGGTCTTAAGATTTCCAGTAATCTGTAGTAGGTTTTTGTGTGGTGGTGTGTTGACAAGACCACTCCGTGGGGTTCTACAATGACACTCTATTGAAGAAAAGCATATGCGCTTAACTCCAGTTGGACTGCTTTAGACCCCATGCTAATAAAACCGTAGCTCGGAGGGTCCCTGAGGCCCAGTGTGCAAACTGCAGTCAAGTAAGAGGAAATAATAACTGCTGTAAACAAAGAACAAGTTCTTGTTTTGTCTCCTGATGCTGTAGATTCTCTGGTCTTGTAAGGTTCACAGGCAAGCCTTTCTACTTGGTAGTTAAAAAAAAATGGCCTTAGGTCACACCAGTTGTTTTTGCAATATATACTAGCAATTATGTGAACTGAGAAATGCATGGGCGGATTGCATTTTCACATGAGTTTAGGATCCCCTGTGTCTTTGTTTGGCCGCACAGGACTGAAGTATTTTTTCTCTTGAGCCGTACAAGATTATTATCACACGTTGTATTGTTGTTCAAGATTAATTGAATTCTAATTTTAGAGCTTGTCATAGTTACAACCTAAAAATATTGCAGTTATTGTGATTTTAGGTCTGCTATGTTTTCTTTAACTGTAGACCAATAGACAAATGTTATTGTATGTAATGGGAAGAATTTCCAAGACCCCTGGGCTCCCATTTCTTCAACTTTACATGTACCCCTTTCTTTTTTCTCTTTGTCTTTGTATTATATCCTTCCTTGCAGCTCCCAAAAGCACTCTTTATTGCATTATTTTTGGCTGATGTGTATGTATACAGCAGCAGACCAGACTCCGCATAGACTCAATTTAACCATGTCTGAAGGGGAGCTGGTCAACCCATTGCTTCAACAGGAGGCAAAAAGGGGAGAGCGAGAGAAAAGACTGAAACAGGCTTAGCTCTAATGGCAGATAATCCAGTTACAAACTTGTGCAGCTCGTCAAAAGGGTTGCCTTTCAGGTTGTGGCTTTGTGATGTAAATGGAACGTGGCGCTCCGCGAGCGTTGAGGCTAAGAGGGAAGGTTTTTTGCTTCGGACAGTGTTTGCCACAGACTTGCCCTCTGCTTTGAATCAGATTTGCACACTTTGATTTGAGGCTTCTGTGGGCCTAGCAGCCGCTGGCTAGGACGCCGCCTGTTGCCTTGTTTTAGTTTTTACTGGCTGCGTTACATGTGGAAAAAAAAGTGGGGAAATTTATTAGCTACTGGTACATCTCATGGCTTGGTGGGTGAAATTAAGAAAAGATGCAGCAACAACTCTGCTGTTGCTCTGTTCATAAAGAGTACACCTTTACAGATGTAAGTAATTTCAAAAATGCTTCTTTCCCTACCTCTGCTAAAACTTTGTTGCAAATTTATATGTCATTTTTAATAGTTAACAAACAAACTTGTTAGAAAATGCCTTTTCTGTTTTACTTAAAATGATCCAGATCCCGGCAATAATTCCCAACATAATTAGCTTGATTCGTTCCCCCCCGTTTTCCACTCATTCCCAAAATCAGTTCTATAGAGTTTTCAGAATCTTGCGAACAGACAGAAACAATCCCATCCCTGCACCTGAACAGTGTTTTACTTTCACTTTTGAACTCACTACTCGTCATCGATTGCTTTACAGACCACTGAAGGGCGAGGCAGTTCTTGTGGATGGGCGGACGCAGACTGCTTCCAGCCTGGTGAAAGGCCTGAACCCCATACGACCTGATGAGCCAGCTCAACACAGCTACCAGCTTCAGTTTGCTATTCAGCAGCTGCAACAGCAGAAACTAAAGTTACTTCAGTTTCCAAACCAGGTGTGTAAAAATCAACAGCAACAATATTGTTGGTCTCCTTTACAACATTGTTTTACCATAAAACTTTCTTGGTCACATTTTGTTAGACCGTTTTGTTTGGAGGTCAGCTTTTACCCTCAAGTTGGAACATTTTAGGTATTTGGTTTTTCCAGATCCCCTTTGGGATTATATTCTGACTACTGACCAAAGTGTTTAGGAAAAAGTCAGAAGAGAGAGTTGCTGTCCAGCTTCTTCTATTTTTGTTTGATCTCTCTCTTTAAAAGACGCACCGCATGGAGGAAAGAAAAGAGCCGTTGAACTATAACTCAGGAAAACTCATGTCTGTGCAAAATATTTCCTTACCTAAGGACAGCTTCATCCAAAAACGCATAAAATACACCCACATCAAGAGGAAAGCTTTCATGTTAGCATTTCCAGAGCAATTCTGGGAATATTTTTCCAAACCACTCACCAAAAAGATATTCAGGGGCAATATCTTTCTCAACAGAAGCTCATTCCTGGAGAGCCAAACATGACTTTATGACCAAAGTTTACATGGTATGAGCTTTTTGGCTCATAATGGAAGGTGAGTAATTTAAAAATGTTGCTCAGGAGATTACTTAAAAGGTCTTGGTCTATTAGAGAATAAGTTAGGCAACAAAAACTTTCAAAGTCATGTTTGACTGGATGGGTTGATGATATGTGTCTGTTTTTAAAAGCATGTTAGAAAAGTAGAAAGGTCTATTTTATCTTGCACAGTTATTTTAATGTTTAGAGAAAAAAATCTCTGTCTTTTTGTACTTTTACTTTAAAAGAGGATCTTGACAGGATTTGTGCACTTATTCATTTTCCAGAAGGTTCTGGAAGCCATTTGATAGACTGAGAGAACTGAAGACGGTAGTTTCATTGGACAGCTTACGGCGTGGAATAACTGGATGGATGCACTTTTTTTTTTCCTATTTGTCTTTAATGCTGTTTTCTTTCACATCGTTGTTTTTAATCATCTTGGTTTGAGTTTAAATGATGCAAGGTGATATGTCTTTTAGCTTAGCCAGGTAGATTTACTCTTTATAAAAATGATTATTTGGTTCTTTTTTAGTTTTTCATCTTCTCCTTTTTGGTCTCACAGACTGACTGATCTAACTTTTCTTGCTGTGACATTTTTCATCAAAATTAATTCAATTCACTTCATTTATTTATACAGCGCCAAGTCGCAACAGAAGTCATCTCAGGGCACTGAACAGAAACATTCATATGTAAAAATTATAATTTAACATTATTTATCTGAGGAGCAGACTGCTTTGAGTTTAACTCCATCGCAGAACTCTCATCTTGAGCAAGCATGAAGGCGACAGTGGAAAGGAAAAACTCCCTCATGAGGAAGAAACTTTTAGGATGCAGGAACTTCTCTGACAGTTTTAAAAAAGTTGCATTTTTAGAAACTGCTTGTGGACAGCGAAGTACACAACACAGTTTAGAGACAAACGTGCATTTCATATTTTATTTTATTATGGTTATTTTAAGGTGAAACATGAATATGGTAAATGCTGGGAAAAAAAATGTATAAAGAGTTTTAACAAAGTCCATGCTCAATAAAGCTTTTTGTTGAGTACTTCACATCTTAATTGATCCAGGAATTCCTCTTGTCTTCATTCTTTACTTGCAGTGGAGAGAAACGTTATTTCTGATTTAGATGTGCTTTGTGCTCCAGAAGTCGGATTTCTGTTTCTTTGGCTTCATGGTAAATTATTTATGAGTTTGGCTCCACCAAAGATGCAAAATAATGTTCTCTATTGATTCTGAGTGCTGTATATTTGCAAGTGTGTGCTGCAGTGAGAGAGAAAGAGACAAGGGTCTGTTCCGGCACTCCAGTCCACGTTCCAGTTACTGGGTGCAGACTGCACGGCTCCTCCACCGGCTTGGCCCCGGGCCACCTGGCAGCCAAAGAAAGGTGCCCTTCCTGGCCCCGCTCAAACTGAATTGCGGCCATGGGCCTTGCATCTTGGAAACCCAGCTTCTCATTTATCAACATAGAACTTCTTACATCAGATACTCCTTGTCACCCTGTCGGCCCTTTGAGCAGCTACGCTGTGAAGCTGGAAAACCATTAGGTTGTTAGATAGCCGTATAAAGCAGCACAGAAAATAGCATAGGCATGATATCTGGAAGGAATGTATGCAAGCATTCCCCAACGTTGCATGGACAAAGTGAAACGTGGTCTAAGATATTATGTCAGAAAGACAACAGCGTAATCCTCCATCTCGAGCCTTTGAAGAGCTTTTGAATAAACAAATAAATAATGTGAAGAAAGTTATTTTTGGTGCAGCCAACAAAAGGAAAAATGTTAAGCTTGTTTTGATAGTGGATGGTATTTCAATAAAATCTGCACTAATTCATGCCAAGCGCTTTGATATTTCACCTTAATAAACATGGGACACAAAGTTTTCCATGACTAACAAATTCCAAAATGTGATCACACGCCCAATGCCCTCTTTTGGAGTGGTTGGATTTATTTTGTCTTAAAGAGTACGCTGCTGGCATGGGTGGATGCTCTACCTCTCCATCATGTTTGATGAAACTCCCAGTGGTAGTTTTTTGCTTTATGTTCTGGCAAACGGACAATGAGCACCGCCTTTTTATTTTAATTGTGTTTTTATATGACTTCAGTAAAATTGTCCTTCTGAGATGACATAACGATTGACAAGAGATATTTATCAATTGTAGCTTTTTTTTTATTGATCTGACTGTCTCTGCTTTCCCTAAAAGTTGGACTACATTCTTCCTTTAGGCGGCTTTAGGTGCCATTTGTTGTTGTAGTTTATTAATAATAGCTTTTATTTATTTTCAGGCACAGGTTTCAAATCAAACAAGTGCTCCACACATCCAGGTTTCTACAACAAAGGCCTGCAGCCCTCCATCCAGCTTTCATGCTTGGCCCAGTCACAGCCGCATCCAGACCTGCGTTGGTCCAGGTCTTGTTCCAAAGCCACCCATCGGCACACGTGAAAGATTCATCAGGACAACAACAAAGCGTCTAATCAAGTAAGTCCATTGTTGCAGGTGAATTATTTATTTCTACAGTTGCCTGTAAATTAAAAAAAACTCCCTGTGTAATTTATAACACATTAAGTGCAGTGGAGTGGCTTTCATTGGCCCAGATTGTGGAAGGAGACATGGTTCATGAGATCGACGAGTTCAAGAGGACACGGCTAATGCTAATGAGAGTTTGAATATGTGTGTAGTGGACTGCTCCCAGTCTTTTGGCTGCGGGTTGTATCTGCCTGTTCAGTAAACAACCTCATCACAGGCCTGATTTCTGCCTGAACCGTAAACAGAACGTGGTTCAGTGGAAGGGCCTGGACTCCGGGTTCCATTTAAATCCTGTTTGGTTTGGAGATAAGGTGAAGAGTACAGAAGGAAAAAAAAAAATGGAACGGGTTGAAACTGGGCTCAACTGCCAGCTAATTCCCTCACTTATTTTACGACTGTAATACTCGCAACATCCGTCCAAATTACACAACACAGAGCCTTTATGATCAAGACTGAATGTTTAAAGTGCGCTGTTATGGTTGGCGAAGGGCTTTTAAAATTTGGAAAGAAATTTAAAACAAATTGTCCAAAAACTCTTGGCGGTGCATTTTTCTTTGTAACTTCATTTATTCACTGCAACGTTTGCAGGTCTGATGACACCGCGCTGCTCTGCTGACGCGTTACGTTTAACAAACAAACTGTTCCTGGTCAGCAAAGAGTTAAGAAGACGGTAGCGTAAGAGTTGCATAGAATAGTGAGCCGGCTAGGTGTCATGTTTGCTCCTGTGTGTGTGTCTGTATGTGTGTGAGTCTTCCTGGCAGTTTCTGTGTTTACCTTCTGCATGTGGAATTCCAGAGCCCCCTCACACTCTGCTCTGTCCTGCATTTTTGCGGTCGACCAGTGTGACAGGGGAGAGTGTGGGAAAAACGGAAGCTTCGGGACCAAAAAATGCGCTGATGGAAACAATGAAAAGCAAGAAGAAAGAGACGAGGAAAAAAGAAAGAATGACAAAGAGGAGTGAACTCGGTCCAGTAAGAGAAAATGATTGTTTCCAGAAAATGGAAATAATAAGTTGCTTCCACATATTTCCAGTGTGCTTTTTTCAGGTGCAACTTAATACTTTTGTTATTGAAGCACCTTTGAAATGTACCCCTGTCTAGGGTTAATTCCCTCAAACCTAGAATAGAATCACTGCTAGATTATTCAAAGAGTTCAAGGTTATCCGACCCTCTGAACACTTTCCATCTTTTAAACCATCCCCAGAATTGGCAAGGAATTTTCCAAAGTAGTGCACTGCTGCTGATCTTTTAATACTGGCAGTTTTAACATAAAAATCCCTAAAGAGGGTTGTCAATTTAAGTTTTGCCTAAATTGTACAACTTTTATTAGGTAATTTGCACAAATAACTTATAAATATTAATTTTAAGGAGCAGCAGTGCAGAGTTTTGGAACGTCTCTTCACTTTGCGCCTTCAATTTTAAGCTCAAATAACGCGGTGCACACTCGATTAAAGCAAGTGTGCTTGTTGGTATCGTACTCAGCAGGGCAGGACTCTCTTTGCTCTATCAACATACCACAGCTGCCAACTCGAGGGGCTGCAAGAGCTCAAAGTGGTATGACTTCAGTGAAGGTTTTGAAAGGAGCAATTTGTAACACAAATAAATGAGGCTGTTTGGTATTTTGTTTGCGAGGTTTGGGTTAGTCGCAGCTGTAACTACGGAAACCCAGGCTGTCGTGTGGCATTACTAATAGGGTGACAATTACAGTAGTGCCATTAATGTCAGCCTCACTGCTGCTTTCACTCCCTATTAATCAGCCACAACAGTAGTTATTTTCGTGGAATACTGTATACACACAGACGCTGCCAAACGTGTGTTTATGGTTAAACTTTATCCCCTTTGGTCATATCTGAATTGCATTAGGACGTCCTCCTTGCTACTGGCCTGCACAAAAAGTGAAACTTCACATGAGTTCTGTTTGCACAAGAACTTCAGATCTGTGTGAATTTTTCAGCTTTGGGCTCATGTGTCATCTGTACATAGTGCAGGTTCAGAATCAGCTCCCACCTGCAGTGTTTCTGGCTGCTATCGGACTTGTGGAGTGACAGAGTGAGAGTCTGTTGACAAAGAAAGTGATGTGAAGAACCTGAGGTCAAGTCCCCCGCCCTCTCGATATGAAAGGGGCTGCTTCCTGTGGAGGTATGCCACTCTTAAAGAGGGCCAGTTCTATTTGTGGTTGTGTAATGGTATGAAAGAACAACTGTGCAGCCCCTTACAAGGAGGCAGTGTGTACCCTGATTACCTTATTAATGCTCCTTTGGCAAGCTGCTGTTATGGGGCGAGAAGTTAATGCCAGCTAAGCTTTATTTATTGTTCCCCCTAAAAAATGCTTAACAGATTTAATGCATAGGGTTACAGACGTGCCTGCTCATGCTCTATGCTTCAGTAGTTCTCATAATGGTGCTCTTTGGGAAAACACTGTATACTCTGTCTGATTACTTGAAAGGAGCTGTTTAATCCCTTGTATATAATTTCCAGACCTATTTATTACACACACTGAGGTAAGTATATCACAGTATTTGCCAGTCAGCTAATATGATTATTTACTTGATTGCTCCACTTCTATCTGTAACCTCAGCGGTCAGTAATCAACAGAGGATTCCTGCCAGTGTGATCATCACATCACCCAGGACAAGGATCAGGAATGTATCTCCTCCTTGCTCTCAAGAGGCACCCAGTAAACATTTAGCCCCCTCTGACTGCACACAAAGAGAAACTACCGTAATTTCTGGACTATAAGCTGCTACTTTTTTCACATGCTTTGAACGCCACAGCTTATACAATGCTGTGGCTAATTTATGTTTTTTTTTTTTTGGATGGGCTAACGAGCTTCTTGCCACCAAAACATTTAGCTTTGTCACACCCATGCGCTCACGTAGCTGACCAATACACGTCTCTCTTGGGCAGTAGCGATCAATGACTGGTAGACTACTGAATTTTTTTTAACCAGCCGTGTTACAGGCACTGTTCAGAAAAAAACATTTACTGTATTTGTGTGTATTACCATTATGCATTTAATTAAGAGTTTTAAAAAATCTTTCTGTGCAAGTATCTCATTTTACAACGTGAACATAGGCCTGTCACGATAACAAATGTTGTTGGGTGATTAATTGTCTCCGAAATTATTGCGATAAACGATAATATTGTTTGAAATTTGACAATAATTAGTAAATGTCAAATTTAAGAAGAAATCTTGGTTAATTTTTGTATGTAGTACCTTTTTTGACCACTGGATGGTATTATAAGACCATTTGAACCAAAGGATGGCTAGTGAGGGAGCAAGCAGCGCGTCTCTTTAAGAAAAATGGGAGGGAGGCCCCTTGACGTGACATGGGCTGTCTCTCATTCCTGTTTTTTGGTTCTGAAACTGGTGGACGCTTGGTGTGGTTTGAGCTCTTTAGCTTGGCATTTTTCACACAAAACGTTTAATATAAAATCAATAAACAAGTTCTCAGCTTCTTTTTGCAGAGAAAAACAACTTTTTACACGAAAGCACGGGTTTCAACCGTGAATTTTGGAGCTTCGACAAGACGGAGTTTTTTTCCCCGAGGTCGGCCCGTTTGCTTAGTTCATAGCTTAGCTTGTCAGTTTAACTTTTTTTAAACGATCCAACAACGCAATTTTGAACAGTTAAAACAGATTTTAAAGAGAAAGGGAGGTGTCAGTGAAGAGCACGGGAGTTGAGTCTTTTGTCATCCAGTGTCTTCAGTAGAAAGAGAGAGACACGAAGAAACGATGAAGCCGATAAATGAAAATTATGTTGGTAATTTTCATTTATCATGTGATTAATTGTTCAACTCCTGGTACCGACAACATCAAAATGTGGGTGGTAACGGTGAAACACCCACACCTGCCTCCACCCTCATTTGCCCCACTCTGGGCCCCTGAGCAAGGCCCTTAACCCCCACCATCTGCTCCCAGAAAAACAGGTCTCTCTTGAAAATGAGTTCTCGTGACTCAATGAGACTACCTGTATAAATAAAGGGTAAATGAAAAAAAAATTGCGACAGGCCTACGTGAACACCCTCGGCTTATAGACAAGTGTGGCCTATTTATGTAAAATTGTTATTTTCTTTTTAAATTTTGCGGGTGTGGCTTATATTCAGGTGCGCTCAATAGTCCAAAAATTATGGCATTGAAATTTGGCTCCATCTTTACGGATCATCGGACATTGTGCACGCACACAAGCTCAGACAATCATGCGCTATCAGAAACAGCTTTTCTTTTGTGCTATTTGAAATGTTTATCTCCACATAGAGCATCTGTTGGACCGCAGAGGTGAACGTGGTATTTTAAAAATAAGTTTTTCCCTGCGCAAGCCGCTCAGAAAATAATCATTTTCAGTCCTCGCTTACCCCTCACTCTGTGTCTGATTAACAGGCAGATGTCCTCAGAGAGTTCAGCCAGTGGATCCATGTCAAGTGGCAAGCAGGTGGTGTGCGAGGCCATCTGCGGTAAAACAGGTGGGTTTGATGTTGCAGTTTTGCAGATGCTTTGTACTGTGCTACAGTCCTCAGGCAGAAGGGAAGTTATGCCTCTCTACACCAGTGCCAGTGATTACAGCCAGGCGTAGTGGACATTCCTCATGGAGGGCTGATAAACACTGCTGGATAATTTTATCCAGCTCCTCCTTGTTCACTTGCACATTATTCAAATTAACAGTAATCTGTAGTTTCCAAACTTCTGCTAAAAACCCAATTCATATGGTTGAGTTAGCTAAATAGAGGTGCTGTCTAAAATAAAAACGGAGTACAATGACTTCCAGATTGTTGTATATGTGTATAGTTTACGTGTTTATTTTATACTGTTAACAAAAGAATTGGAAACTATAGACAAAGTCTTGTTATCTAAAGAGTTGAGCTAAAAAGCACTAATAACTCTGCACTTCATATCATCAGGCGCCTTATACAAAAAGGAACAATATTGTTCTAAAAATAACTGCATGGATTCAGAAAAACATCTTCAATTTGGTGTCGGTGAAAAGAGCTTGTCATAGCATCCAAGAATGCATTATTGCATGTTATAACTCACTGAAGTTAGCCTGTGATGAAGTGAATAATAAATCTGCACATCTCTGTTAAGCGGTATCTTTTACTGCTTTGTCATTGTCGGTCCTGGCACGCTGTCAGTATGTCAAGGGTCCAAATGCATTCTACATCCCATCTGGAACGCCACTAAATGTCTGGGTTCACAATCTTCCTGTCTAAAATAAGTGGCTCACTCGGTCATGTCTTTTTATACCGTCGTGACTGTAAAATTTCGTTTTTACATGCGTTTAAAATGCAGCCAGACAGGAAAGCTGGTCTCTTTAAACTAGAAGACTTTGTGCAACACAGTATTCTCACTTGTAAAAAAATGACCAACTAAATGTATGGCAACACTACAGCTAATACAACTCTGTCAGTTTTACAGATATGTATCTAAAAATTTGGGTGGTAGTAGCTGAGAGTAACACTCTGAGCACTTGAAGGTCACATTTGGTATGTAATGTGAGGTGAGTAAGATGATTCCTTTAAGAATTGCTGATTTCATTAATTTAATATCAAATTTTTTTTATTTTTTTTTTAGCAAAATATTACTCTTGCAACAAATATTGCCTCAAAATATTGTGAATATACTTTGGGAATAACATAACTGGTGAGTTATCCTTAGAAAATGTGATGTAAAGTGAAAACAAAAGTAAAAAAAATAAA